GAGCTCAACTTACAAAGCACTGGACAAAGAAGTGAAGAAGAGTGCTAGGAAGGACAAAAGACGATTCTACGACAACCTCGCTACTGAAGCTGAAAAGGCAGCAGGCAAAAGGGACCTGAGGACACTATATCAGATAACCAAATCTCTATCCGGGAAGAGACCAACACAAGCGAAACCTATAAAAGACAGCCAAGGGAACCCATTACCAAGGAAGAAAAACAGATTAAACAATGGGCGGATCACTTCAAAGGACTCTTGAACCGACCATCACCTGCAACCCGTCCAGAAATACCAACAACAGCGCGCACACAACTGCAAGTTGACACCAATCCTCCAACGAGAGCTGAAGTCTTGAATGCAATCAAGCTTCTGAAAGCTGGAAAAACAGCCGGACCAGATGGAATACCCCCTGAAGCACTGAAAGCAGACCCAGAGACGACAGCAGACATGCTGACTCCATTATTGCAAAAGGTCTGGAAGGAGGGAAAGGTGCCTACTGACTGGAGGAAAGGTTACCTCGTGAAACTACCAAAGAAGGGCGACTTAGGACTCTGCAAGAACTGGCGAGGAATCATGCTCCTATCGACGCCAAGTAAAATCCTGAGTCGCATCATCCTGGAGAGATTAAAGGACGCACTGGAGACAGAACTCCGACCAGAACAAGCTGGATTCAGGAAAGGCAAATCATGTACTGACCAAATTGCAACTCTACGCATCATCATCGAACAAAGCATGGAATGGCAATCAAACCTCTACCTCAACTTTATAGACTTTGAGAAGGCCTTCGACAGCGTTGATCGTGAAGTAATTTGGAAATTACTCGAGTACTATGGCGTACCCCAAATATTCATCAACCTTATTCAACAGCTGTACGACAACGGCACATGTCAAGTGATCCACAACGGAAAACTCAGCGAGGCGTTTGGAGTAAACACAGGAGTCAGACAAGGGTGCTTATTATCACCAATGATATTCCTAATTGTGGTGGACTGGATTATGCGTCAGACAGTGGGAAACGAGAAGACAGAGATATCCTGGACCGACGTGAAGAACCTAGAAGACCTGGATTTCGCGGTGGATGATTTATGTTTGATGTCACACACAATCGAAGACTTACAAGCGAAAACCGACAAACTGGTCGAAGAAGCAGCCGGAGAAGACAGGACTCCAGGTGAACATAGACAAGACGGAGGTTATGAAAATAACCAACCACCAACAACAACAGCAGCAACATCCAGCGCCAATCACCATCAACGGGAGGGATTTGAAAGAGGTTACTTCATTCACTCACTTATCTAGGGAGCATTGTCTCAACTACAGGAGACGAACGAACGAGGATGTCAAATCGAGCGAGAATCGGGAAGGCGAGAAACACATTCATCAACCTGAAATCAATCTGGAAATCTTCGTCACTCAGCAGCATCAACAACAAAATGTCGGATTTTCAATACAAACGTCAAGTCAGTCAGTTCTTCTATACGGATCAGAAACTTGGCGGGGGGTCACAAAGAATATTTCCACCAACAGCTGTTGCAGACCTTTATTAACAACTGTCTTCGCTCTATACTGAAGATCAGATGGCCGGAAAGAATCACCAACAAGGAATTATGGGAACAAACAAAGCAAGAACCAATCGCCCAACAAATATGCAGGAGAAAGTGGAGATGGATCGGACACTCGCTGAGGAGACCGCTGGGTGACATGCGCGCGTCAATTGCTCGAGTGGAACCCGAAAGGGAAGCGGCGAGTAGGTCGTCATTGCAAGGGTGACATGGAGGAGATCGTGTGAAGAGGAGTTGAAAGAATATGGATTAACATGGATTCAGGCGAAAAGTACAGCAGAAGACAGAAGTGGAAAGTGGAGAGGTGCAGTTGAAGCCCTATGTTCCACTAGGAGCCCAAGGGAGCAATAATAATAATATTAATATTAATAATAATAATAATAATAATAGCACTCATTACATGCAATTGCACACAACCATAAAATAGGATGGGATGGAATAAGATGACAGTTCTAAAATCTAATGTCACAGGGTGAAGGGAGAGATCGATTGATAACGGAAGTTTTGTGTATCGAATCAACTGCGAACTAACACGTGCAGTAGGAATAATTCAACACCTGTCCATTCGGATATCTGGAAAATTTTACTACCCCTACGACGACAAACGGGAAAGAATAGAAAAAACTGTAAAATTCAAGTTTTGAAGTTGTGTGATTACAATTGATGATATGATTATGAACAATAATGAATTGTTGAATTGAATTTTTGATTTTCCCGTCGATTGATTGGACCGAAGTGCTCGGTCTCAGATTGACATGTCGGCTTCTTGTGCAGATGCTTCGACGATGTCTGGAGATTTGATTTGTATACAATTGGTGGATGGTGGTTAGCAGTGGAATCCAGGATGCGCGTTTCGTCCTAATTGGGACTCGTCAGCTGGATGTACCTGCATTTCTCAGTGAGTGATGATGTTCCCACCGAGGCTCGAACCCAGTGCCCATAGTTTCAATCGCCACAGCGTTATCCACTAGACCACTTGGGCCACGAGAGCCACCTCTTGTGCAACGGGTCATATATTAATTATTGAATTGAATTTTTTATTTTCCCGTCGATTGATTGGACCGAAGTGCTCGGTCTCAGGTTGACATGTCGGCTTCTTGTGCAGATGCTTCGACGATGTCTGGAGATTTGATTTGTATACAATTGGTGGATGGTGGTTAGCAGTGGAATCCAGGATGCGCATTTCGTCCTATTTGGGACTCGTCAGCTGGATGTACCTGCATTTCTCAGTGAGTGATGATGTTCCCACCGAGGCTCGAACCCAGTACCCATAGTTTCAATCGCCACAGCGTTATCCACTAGACCACTTGGGCCACGAGAGCCACCTCTTGTGCAACGGGTACACAAGAGGTGGCTCTCGTGGCCCAAGTGGTCTAGTGGATAACGCTGTGGCGATTGAAACTATGGGTACTGGGTTCGAGCCTCGGTGGGAACATCATCACTCACTGAGAAATGCAGGTACATCCAGCTGACGAGTCCCAAATAGGACGAAATGCGCTTTATCCTGGATTCCACTGCTAACCACCATCCACCAATTGTATACAAATAATGAATTGTGTTCGAAACTGTATCATCCAGTAAATCAAAATACTGTTTCACTCACTGTGAGTGATGTATCTAATAAACAAAAAATAATTTTGTAATGATAAAATGTCACTCGTTGCCTTTTATTTCTTCAGCAAGTTTATCCCATACTACTGTTGAATAATAAGTAGTAATGTTCTGATAACATTGGTTTTTCTACTCTGGACTCATATTTTATTCTATCAGTCCGATAAATGTGTTAAATAAATAACGATTTCGTGCCTCGGCGGCATAGTGGTTAGGACGTTCACCAACCATGCACATGGTCCGGGGTTCGATCCCCGGCCAACACACGCACTCCTTTACCTCGCTAAGCCAGAAATAATGCTGGTAAAGAGGAAAGGTTGGGCATGAGAGTAGCAATCCCATCCAGTAAAATAATCACTGCTACAGAAACTTCAAGCCATTAGCTTGAATCCCTGTGTTCCACTGGGGAACTTGAAGGAAAAAATAACGATTTTTGTACTCACAAAAATCTCTAACCTTTGCCCATAATTTTTCCTTTGTATGCCCTAGGCAAAAGTTAAACGAAACGAAATCATTGCTGGTGATGATGGGGGTGTTGGTTTTAGTAGTAGTGGAACAGCAACCGTAGTAGTAAGATGTGTTCCATGAGTTTCATGTTATTTTTGTTCCTACTCTCTTTATGTTCTGTTCTGCGCCGACGTTATATTTGCAGATATGTAATAGTTAAAATCAATTGTGAGGTGCAGTTATTAGCGGAGTTTGTTCTTCTTGAAAGAATTTATGATTATGTGTCTATAGTATTCTGATTACTTTGTTAAATGGTGGCCTTATTTGCACTGATTGTGGTCAGCAGAGGAATTCAGACTGTGCGTCTTGATGTGTTTTTGGATTATGTTCAGCTGCATGTACAGCATCTTCATTGAGTGACACTGTTTCCAGAACCCGTCGTTTTAAATGCTCTATTCTTACGCGTCCGAAATAGGATGAAGGGAGGGGCATTCTGACATCCAGTCTTATTCATCATCAACCAAATGACATCATGTTAGTCTCCACAAACCATCTAGTATGGTTGAGGGTGAGTAGACTCTGGTGTTCCTCCCTCTCGAAATGTTCTCATGTGGCCGCCAGCAAAGTTCTGTTCACTATTTTGACGTGACGGCGGGGTCGAATGTTAACATCTTGTGTTTCTAAACGGGACTGACCGACATTCACGTAGGTCTAACTGCGGGGATGGGGGCTGGAAACTTCTGATTCGAAACCTATGGTGTTTACACGTGGGTTCAAGAATGCAAATGGATCAAACGCCGTACGCACCTGTTTTGGTTGCCGGAAACCATGGAATCACGTGGCTCCTGACACTGCTCCATCACCTTGTGAACCAGACTTGAAGTCACAGGCTCGAGGTATGGGCTGTTTAGACATCCAGATATTTCGGTCTAGTCGTCCGGACAGTATCTTGGCCTTCGCATCAACTGTGCGATTTTGTGTAGCGCATCTTTCGGTGGCCATAATGTGCAAAATTAATCGGCGGGAAATTCAAAATAATAATTTCAACAAAAGAAATCATCTATTTCGATCCTTGTCGGTCATTTCGGGTTTTTGTTGAATATGATGTAACTCTTTCCGAATTTGAATTTGAAACATTTTTATCTCATCAATAAGCACACGATAACTGTGTTTCGCCTAATTTTAGGGGTAGAAATACAGGTGTTATTTTTGCGTGATATGGTTTTATGGTGTAAATATTGAAAGGCTGAAAGTATATGCGTGCTAATTGTGTTCCATCAATATTTTATTGCGCTGTTTATATCCTCCATATGGCTACATTCTAGTGATTTCAGTTTTCGTGTTGCTAATGTTCATACTTTTTTCTCACTCCCTCTGCAGGAAATTGAAGACAGAATATCTGTTCATTTGTTACCTAATCTTCAAGAAATTGGTAAGTTTACTAACTAATTGTTTATTATTATTATTATTATTATTATTATGATTTTTGTAATACATTGAGTCGAAAAATAACGACTGCGAGCTGGACACAGATGCACGAATATCGCTTGACTACTCCAACAGTGTACATAAACAATTAAACGATCTGTCAGCTCGTTCTATTTAGGCGAGAGTGGAAAGTGATGTATATATTTTACACCATAATGTATAATTGAAAAAATTTCACCAAGAATATATGTCAATTAATCTAAAGTCATGATCAATAAAATAGTGGGCGTTTTATTTGACTTAGGCAGATTCTGATTGGTTTACTTCCGGACTGGATATCGATCGACCACTTACGTTGGTCAATTCTGATTGGTTTAAATAAAGCAAGAATAATAGTGGTTTGAGTAGAATAAAATGCTTTCATCATTCTCATCATCTGCTTACAGCCCAAAGTCATTATTAGGTATATCTACAGAAGTAATTTTAACATACTTGCACAACGAGTCCATTTTTAAACAAAAATCAATCAGTACATGCATACACCAATAATATATCTATAATAATGTTAAACACTACTCTGAACAATAATGATCATGTACAATGGAAACTTTAAATATTACGTAGTCAGATAAAAGAGAGTGTGAAAATATACAGTTACCAGACAGTAGGGCAAGAAAAGACTGATAACTGTCACTTTCTGAACTCATAAATCAGGTTTCAGGCGCTTTATGTAGATTGCTTCGGTGAACTTGAGAAGAATTGGACTCTTTTGTCTATTGATAATTTTGAACGATCTTGCCACGTCCATCTCATGATCTGTGTCAAAGATATGTCTGGCAATGGCACTGTTGAAAGCATTTGTTGCATTCAGACGTAGGCTTTTTGGTACATGTTCTGAAAATTATAGGTATGCCCTTCTTTCTGTTCTTTCAGTGTAATTGCTCCAGCAGATACATGTAAATTTGTAAATACAGTTGGAGTTAACATGAGAAGGATATCTATCGATTTTTGATTGCACCAAAGAGCACGTTGTTCGATAGATGGGAACCAACTTAGCTGGCCGCAGGATAGGCTCTAGCTAGTGATATATTCAGTCTTCTTTTGACAACTCCTGCAATGTTATCACCTTTATGAAGATAGGCACTCCAGCCTTCACGTATTCCGTGTTTGCAAAAGAGCCTCTGGGGGTAACCGTTGTTCTTAACAGCTTTTCGAGAATCAGAAATTCCTGCTCTAATTTCTCCATAGGGCATATTCTCTTGACTGACTCTATAAAACAGAGTTTTGATTGGGGTTCGTTTGTAGCTATTTGTACAAAAGCTGTTAAAATGCAAGTATTGCCCATTCCGTGTCCGATTTCTGTAAATTGACCTCTGAAGACTACCATATCTTCTAGGCGTTGCTTGGCAATGTCAAGGAAATGGAGGTTTCCATCGCTTTCATGTTCGATAATGAATTCGATATTTGTATATGTATACCTTGTTGAATAACTCGAGTAGGTAGGAAGCGTGACTTTCATTGTTGCATACTATAAATGTGTCATCTGCATATCAACAATAAAAGTTGTTTAATCGATTGCATATTATTATTATTATTATTGTTCCCTTGGGCTCCTAGTGGAACATAGGGCTTCAACTACACCTCTCCACTTACCACTTCTGTCTTCTGCTGTACTTTTCACCTGCATCCATATTAGTTAGTCCATACTATTTCAACTCCTCTTCACACAATCTCCTCCATGTCACCCTTGGACAGTCCCACACGCCGCTTCCCTTTCGGGTTCCACTCGAGGGCTTGACGCGCGATGTCACCCAGCGGTCTCCTCAGCGAGTGTCCGATCCATCTCCACTTTCTCCTACATATTTGTTGGGCGATTGGTTCTTGCTTTGTTTGTTCCCATAATTCCTTGTTGGTGATTGTTTCCGGCCCGGCCATCTGATCTTCACCATAGAGCCAGCGAAGACAGTTGTTGATGAAGGTCTGCAACAGGCTGTTTGGGAATATTCTTTGTGACCCACCCGCCAAGTTTCTGATCCGTATAGAAGAACTGACTGACTTGACGTGTTTGTATTGAAAATCCGACCGAATTTTGTTGTTGATTCTGGCTGAGTGACGAAGATTTCCAGATTGATTTCAGGTTGATGAATGTGTTTCTCGCTCGCCTTCTCGATTCTCGCTCGATTTGACATCCTCATCCGTTCAGTCTGCGTGTAGTTGAGACAATGCTCCCTAGATAAGTGAATGAAGTAACTAACCTCTTTCAAATCCCTCCCGTTGATGGTGATTGGCGCTGGATGTTGCTGCTGCTGTTGTTGTTGGTGGTGGTTATTTTCATCACCTCCGTCTTGTCTATGTTCACCTGGAGTCCTGTCTTCGCCGGCTGCCTCTTCAACCAGTTTGTCGGTTTTCGCTTGTAAGTCTTCGATTGTGTGTGACATCAAACATAAATCATCCACGCGCGAAATCCAGGTCTTCTACGTTCTTCACGTTGGTCGGTCCAGGATATCCCTGTCTTCTCGTTTCCCACTGTCTGACGAATAATCGAGTCGACTACAATTAGGAATATCATTGGTGATAATAAGCCAGCACCCTTGTCTGACTCCTGTGTTTACTGCAAACCCCAATCGATTGCATGTTTCAACTTTAGTCTTTTAAGGTTAAACATAGAGATGTCTGCTAAAACAGGGCTAAGTGAACTTCCCATAGCTACACCATATATTCAACAATACAGAGTTTTTCAAACTGGGATTGCACATCTGTAGTACACATTATCAATAGGCATTTGAATTCCAACACTAAAAGAGGGAGAAGGGCATACCTCTGATTTTCGTAACATGTACCAAAAAGCCTACGTCTCAAGGGAACAAATTCTTTCAACAGTGCCATCGCCAGGCATCTCCTTGACACGGATCATGCGGTGGACGCCTCAAAATCACTCAAAATTATCATTAGGCAAAGGAGTTCAGTTCGCCTCAAGTTTGTTGGAGCAATCTGCAACAAGTACCTGAAACCTGATTTATGCGTTGAGGAAGAAGCTGTTATCAGTTTTTCTCTGACTGGTAACTGGGTATTTTCGCCGTCTCTTTCATCTGATTATGTAATGCCGAAAGTTTCCATTGTGTATGATTATTGTTGTTCAGAATAAAGCGTTTATCATTATTATTATTATTATGTATATTATATGTATTATTATTGTATGCCTTTAGTGATTGATTTTTGTTTAAAAATGAACTCTCCATGGGTAAGTATGTTAAAATCGTTTCTGTAGATATACTTAATAATGACTTTGGGCTGTAAGCAGCTGAGCTGATGAGAAGCCGACGTAATAAACAATGATGGTACCATCACCTTATTCTACACAAACCACTGTTTTTCTTGCTTTATTCAAATTCATTAAGGGGTGTAAATTTATGAAGTGTCTGATTGATTCATTTCCAAACTGGACATCGGTCATCACATCGGTGTTTTATCGCCTAATTGTGTGTTAATATTGTTTCATTTTACTGGGAATATGTCCGTATATATATATATATATATATATATATATATATATATATATATATATATATATATATATATATATATATATCGAAGTTTACTTTCCCCCTTAATGTTGAAACATTTTAACTTGTACCAGCCCACGTTTGACTGACAAAGTGAACCTAGGAGATTTTGTAGATGACTTATATCTGACGTCAGAAAGTACTCGAAGCAGAACACTGTGCGTCGGTGGCACAGCGGTTAAGACTCTCGCCGACCATGTACATGTTCCGGGGTTCGACCCCTTGCCGACGCACACCTGATATCTATGGTCGGCCTGCGAAATTTGGGCTACCGATATCACATGCTGAAAATTTCATACTTGTACCAAAAATTACGGTGGGGAATCAAGCTGTAATAAAAAAAATCGAGAAAAGAGGTAACGAAGGTCGAACATAGTAGAGCTAGTGGTAGTAGAAGTACTCAACAGAAAAGAAAATACACCAATCAACCGGAATTGGAAGATATATGAAGAAAATGACCTCTTTCACTTGCTTAGTCGGCATCGTTTTAACTACAGGCATTAGGGAGGAGGATCTCGAAACCATCGAGTATCGGATGAGAAAAGCAAAACAGGCATTCATTCACCTCAAAATCAGCATGGAGACCTATAGCAGTTATGCAGCACAAATGTAGCGAATCTGAATAGCTTTGGATTAATTTCAAAACAGTTAGCACTTCTCTGTGGTGGGTCGGAGATTTGGTGGGTGTCATCACAAAGATTTCCATCAATAGCTGCTGCTCAATGATTATACAGAAGGAAGGAGAGATAGATAAAGCATACGCTATGGTGATCGCTGAGTGACACTATGCTCCAGGCAAATCCACTGCTAGAAGACCCAAACGAGGAGCGACGAGTTGTTTGAGGAGTAAGAAATCAAAGCTTATAGGCCATCGGGGAGCCGGCTGTCAAAAGTCTAAAAGAGAACAGGAGGAAATGACGATGTACTGCTGAATGAAGACCTACATTGCCCTCGAAACACAAGAATTGAATACTACTACTACTACTACTACTACTACTACTACTACTACTACTACTACTACTACTACTAATAATAATAATAATAATAATAATAATAATAATAATAAAAACATTTTCTCTTATTTTAGTGTTCTGAGTCATTTTTTCACGTTTTCCTGGTTTATTAACTTCACTTATGAAAATTGTGTAAAGCATATAGAATCTGACATGATAGTTTTTGACTCATTAAGGGGTGTGTGTGTGCCAGCGAAGTTAAGAGGATAGCGGTGATTGCTAAGAACTTTGTGAATAACCTTTAATCGGTAAGTCACGAATGAATACCTTGCATTTATCGAGTCTGCAGTTTAGTTCAGATCTCATTTCCCGCCCAGCGTTGTATTAGATTATGATATAATTGGAAGCAGATAAATATGCGTCTATGGTGGAACTATGTTAATTAAGCCATATAACAATGTGATCTGTGGAGACATCTGCAGGTGTATTATGTGTCTTAAGAGTTAATCTCTTCACGATGGTATTCTTCAGGCACATGTCCCGTAGGTTGTAAACTATCTCTGTACAATGACGTCAATTGGTTGGTGGTGACTAGCAGTGGAATCCAGGATAGCGCACATTTCGTCCTGGATTCCACTGATAGTCGCCATCAATCAATTGACTACAATATTGAATTTGTAGTGTATAGCTCTATTCATAAGCGGATCCTTAAATGAACTCATTCTCAGTTATTTCGATAAATATGCATGTACCGAATTTCATTGGCCTTCTCTATTAGTTTCCTTATGAGGAGTTGAGAAGCTTCTTTACAACATGTAAAGAAGAATTCTCCCATATGAATTCAGCTGTCTATGAACCTTTGAAATACAACTCATTAACGGTTTGATGTTTTTATGTTACTCCGCTTTGTAATTGGTTACTCAAGGTCACTTAGGAGATTCTCGATGATCACCAGCTGTGCACCTGAAGTTAACCTAATTGAAACTGTAGAACGAGTCAAATGTTAAGCGTGTAATAAGTTTTTTTCAACACTTAAGCATCCACCCGATCACAACCTCAACAGGAACCGAATCTAGGACCTTCAGTTCACAAGATGCGTCCGTATATCGTCCAACCATTGGGATGGAATTCAAAAGCTCATGAATTCTAACTTCTGCTAACTTGAAATATATATAGTGCCGCTTTCAGTCAATGGCATTAACGACGTTCTGGCGAGAAGTTATAACCGATTAGATCCATCAAGTTGCGTGTATGCAGAAGTACTAAGCAATGGCATTGGTTGGGGGTCATGCTATATTTCGCTGGTCACATCGCGTCCCAGTAGATCAGTGATACGAGTGCTGGGTGTGGTCCCTGGTGGCGTCAGGAGTGCGTTCTGCTGAAGAGTCCCAGACGAGGAAATGACACCTATCCAAGTACTCCTTGGTTCTTAAACTGAAGTCAGTTCGTAACCAATCTTCAATTCAATCAAATCCCTGTAAACCATCACTTGAAAATTTGAACATGTGCTCAATCTTGAGTGTACATAAACTGAGTTCCATTGCGAATCAGTCAATCATCTCGGTATTCAAGCTTAAACTTTCCCTTTTATTGATTTTTCTGTCACATACATCCGTGATGCCGCATGACTGTGTTTGTGTATGTGTATCTGGATCATGAGTATTGTTCAAAAGTTTGTTTTGGTCATTATTTTCTTTTATCGCCTACATATTTGATCGATTCATGTGCCATTTATAAACTATTACAAGGGAATTTAAAAGGAATAAGAGGATACCATCATAACTCATCTTTAGTAGTCTTGCAGCTATGTAGTCAATTGTTTACTGATAAGCGTGATACTACTAACTAATATTTGAGTAGTTGAAATTGATGAGGATAATGTTTTTACTGCTTTTTTATGTAAATTGATAAATAACTTGAATAATTGTATGACTATTTTTTCAGCTGAACATGGAGATAACGAGTCAACCTTTCGTCTGTTACAACTCATTCTTGGTTGTGCTGTCAACTGTGATAATAAAGAAACGTATATTCAAATCATTATGTGTATGGAAGAATCAGTACAACAAGCATTAATGGAAGCGATACAACAAGTAATACCTCATTTCTTAATTGGATATTGCTTAAAACATATTCCCCCCTCATTTTCAAAGACTGGCATTAGTGGGGAACTAAGAATATTTTAAGACAAAAATTTGTTCTCAAATAATATGATCTCGCTATCATATAAGGATGAAAATCAATGCCGATTTAAAAGTTGTATTCGATTTGTCTGTTTGCACAACGGAGGTTTTCTTCAAGTGGAAAGACAATACTATCTTGATTTCTCCGGACTATCAATCTCCGGTTTAAGTCCTGTCGCCATCTAGACTGTCATCCTGCCGTCATTCGTCATCCTATTACGTCAGTGTCATCCTGCTTAACCAAGTTTGTCTTAGATAAATAACCAGCAATAATTTCTATGTGTAATTATTATATACTGTTTTGTGAACATTTTTGTCATAAATAAGAGTGTTGTTTTGTCCTAGTTTGAGGCGCTTCAGGATGAGTTGACTATTCGTCTATGACGATGGTTAAAGTGTTGTGCCCAGACAGTAAGCAGATGCACGTCTTAATCTAGAGGTCGTGAGTTTGATCCCCGGCGGGAGGGGCAGTCGGAAGTGCTAACTGTTAGAGTCTCCAGAACTAGGCCGCGAAATGGAGCCATACTAGTTGCAGATTATGCAGTCGAATGAGAGCGAGAGTAAAGATATAGGGTTGCCAATGCAAGGAAAGACTGATAACTGCTTTTTTCTGGGAACACATTGGGTTCCGAATGACAAACGTGAGGAGAATTGAGCTATTCTGTTTATTGATGGAAGCGATACAACAAGTAATACTGTTTTTTTTAAACTAGATATTTGTAAAAGCTTATTCTCCGATATTTTACAAGACTGGCATTAATTGGGGGGGGTGTGTGGGGTGGGGATAAAGAATATTCGCATTTTCGATAACTTCTTCCTTGTCGGGTTTCATAGTTATATGCATCTACTGTTATTAACAACATTAATGTTGGTGTAAATCATACCAATAGACAAGAGGTTTAGAAGAGGCTTTCGATAGGTTTGACTGCCAAGTCATTTGGAAAATACTTTAACACCATGAAGTGCAGTGCGTCAAATCTTTATCCATGTGCCAGACAAGTCTTCCTGTGATAATCACAGAGGGATTATCTTGACTAATATAGTATCTAAAGTCTTAGGCTCAATAATCATGCGTAGACTGAGTGGTGCTCGGGAAGCACAAACACGAGAGAGCCAGGCAGGCTTTAGACCAGGAAGAGGGTGTATTGATCACATCTTCACCCTCCGACAGATTCTAGAACATAGGAATTCCTACCGGCGTCCAACAGTCATTATATTTCTTGACCTAAAGGCAGCATTCGACTCTGTCGATCGGGAAGTTCTCTGGAGATGCTTGGCTGTAAAGGGAATTCCAAGAAAATATATTGCACTGATTAAGGCACTCTATTCGTACTCATACAGCCAGGTGAGGGCTTACGGCGAGCTGTCATCTGAACTGATGACGACCAGTGGTGTCCGTCAAGGATGCCCATTATCTCCTTTTCTATTCAACTTCATCATAGATGTGTTAATGGACTTAACCCTAGGTGACTTCAGCGATTCAGGGATTGACTTGCTACCGGGAATAATCTCGTTGACTTGGAATATGCAGACGATATAGTCCTTCTAGGCGAAGACGCTGACGAAATGCAGAGTCTTCTAAACACCTTGAGCCGCAATCTACGAATGTTTGGCATGCGATTCGCTCCCGCCAAATGCAAGATGATGTTACAGGACTGGACTACATCGACGCCTAGTTTAAAAATAGGAAGTGAAGTGGTAGAGCACGTTGACCGCTTCACTTATTTGGGAAGTACCATCAGCCCCAACGGGCTGATCTCTGACGAAATCTCAGCACGAATACAAGGGGCTCGTTTCGCATTTGTTAGTTTACGCCGACTCTGGCGTAGACGAGATGTTCGACTATCGACCAAAGGGCGGGTGTACTGCTCATCAGTCCGCTCCGTCCTCCTTTATGGTTGTGAGACCTGGCCACTGAGAGTGGAAGACATGAAAAGACTAGCTGTCTTTGATCATAGGTGCCTGCGTTCTATTTCCCGTGTAAAGTGGCATAATAAGGTGAGCAACATGGAGGTTAGGCGTAGAGTTCTAGGTAAACAGGGGAAATCAATCGACGAAGTCGTGAAGCTACAAAGACTGAGATGGTTAGGACATGTGTTACGTATGCCAAGCCATCGCCTCCCTCGACGAGCAATGTTAGCGGATATAGGGTCAGGCTGGAAAAAAGCTAGCGGCGGTCAAACAAAAACTTGGCACCAGTCAATGAAATCCACAACAGTTGGTCTAAGCCACGTAGGAAGGTGTAGACTTCCAGGCTGGGGTCCTCGGGACGGTAAAAATCTATGGTTGGAAACAATTGGTGACATGGCTCAAAATCGTTCTCAGTGGCGCAGATCCATCCACTCCTTGTGACTTATGATCTTCAATGAAACTGTTTTGTTATTCTTTATTACTCCTTTGTCTCACATCTCTGCTCACTGTTTCTATTATGCTTTTCTTGTACTTTCTTCTCTTGCTTCGCGTGCTACACGGAATGTGGCGACTTGAACTTCTGCACATTTGTGCAAAGTTCTATGTCGAAAACAGACAGACAGATCCATGTGCCAGGTGATTCACAACGGAGAACTCAAGGAAGTCTTTGAAGTGAATAGAGTAGTAGGACAAGACTGTCAGTTATCACTAATGATATATCTAATTGTGTTGCACTGCATGCATTATATGTCAGATTATGCATGGGAGTGAAAAGACGGGAATATGTTGAATCGATAAAAAGACTCCAGAAGATCTGAATTTCTCGTGTGGATGATTTTTGTTTAGTGTCACAAACACACACTCGAAGAAGACGACTTGCAGACGAAAACCAACAAGTTATCAATAGTTGCAGGCAGCGAAGACAGGACATCAAATGAATATAGAGAAGACAGAGGTGATGAGGATAACAAACAAACATCTCACCAGTCACTATCGACGGGAGAAATATGAGAGAGGTTGACTTCCTGACTTCACTTATCTAGGAAGCATCGTTTCAACTACAGGCAGTCAGAAGGGAGGATTTCAAAGGCAGAATCGGAAAGGCAAGATACATACACCGTCATCAACCTGAAACCACAGTTCGGAAATCTTCTTCACTCAGTCAGCCAGCATAAAGAACAAGATTTGGATTTTCAAGACAAATGTGAAGTCAGTCAGTCAGTCAGTTCTTCTATATGGGTCAGACACTTGACCAACGTGTCACGAAAAGGGATTTCCAACAGGCGTTTATCAGACGTTTATCTCGAGAGTGCGGAACTGATAAAAAGTTCAAAACTAGGACGAGACAGCTGTTCAATGCCCCATGGTTTTGTAATTTCATGAAGCAATACTAGTTAAAGATTGCATAATTGGATGGCAAAGAGAGAGAGAGAGAGAGAGTAAAGAAATCCAGTTACCAAGTCAAAATCAGGTTACAGGCGTTTGATAACGATTGCTATGCCAAACTTCAAGAGAATTGAGCTTTTTCGCCTATTGATTATTCTAAAGGATTTCGTGATGTTCTGGCAAGTGGCATTGTTGTACACCTTTGTTCTCTTGACACGTAGGCTTTCAGGCACATGTTTTTCATAGTTCTCTACTCTTCAGCAGTTTACACACCCACCACCCTAGCCCCGGCCGATAACTGCTACCTTGTCGTGGTGTTCGGGCGTGAATACCGTAATGACCCAACATGCTAAACTGACTGGGACTCTGTGCCTGCAGGTCCAATCATGTCAGGAAGGTTGTTTAGTTAGCGGTTAAACTAAAAGTAGTTACCATGGTTTACATGGGCTCCAGTATCCAATCGGATCAAATGGCGTATGAACCCATATAGGTCACCGGAAACCATAGGAACGCAGCTCCTGACGCTGCTCCGCTGCCTTGCGGATTAGACTCCAAGTCAAAGACTCGGGGGTGGTCCCTTAATAAAACCGCCTGCTTCGGTCTGGGCGCCCGGACAGTATCTCAACCCTCACACCATGAATTGAATGAAGCAACAAACAATCAATGAAACTTATCGCGTGCTATTACACGTGTTGCAATTTCCTTCTTTCTTCCCTTCCCGATGACAGTTAACGAATAATGTTTGAACTTGTTAAGCAGGACTGTTTTCCTTCCAGATGAAGTTCTTTATATGTTCTCTTCTTATATGTATATTTTTTACTTTTGATCTATGTTGTTTTATCATAATTGTGTGGCGCATCCTTCTTGGTGCTATATTGTACCAAGTTTTATGCGTTTAAATAAATAAATAACCACCCTAGCAGGGTCCGAAACTAGCACCTCTGAATGGATCAGTCAAACACACTTGTAACAACAGAAGACAAAGGGTCAGGCAACAGATCTTTTTTAATGGAAATCAACAAATATTTATAGATTTTCATGTACATATAATAGATTATTGTTAGCGGAAAAACACAGTCTCCTGATTGGTTGTTTCTCATTGAAAGTAAATCTTTCATCTCTTGTAGCTGTTTCTTGAATGTCAGATCATCTATCTGCTAATTGTATCCGCCTACGCGAAGTCTGCTGTCAGTCTTTGATCTTGTTTTCACATGACTAATATTTGGGACATAAACATTGACGTAAATTACTGTCCACCAATTTTGACTCACCACACATTAACCACTAAACCACTGGACACATTCACACTCGATTTGATTTTTGTTTTTCTGCCTTCCTTAGGTAGCCGGTGAGGATTTTGCCTATTTGAAATAGTCAACTATCTGAGCTCTGTTGATGTCCACTATCGTGAATTGTGGTAGTCTGGCTATATTGGCTTAAACAATCTGTATTTAGTCATTTTCTTGGTAGTTTCACTAAACCTCATGCATAATAAGCGTGGGTTATTGTCTGCTTCATGAAATATATGAATCAGTTAACCTGGTTCAATCAGAAATAAACTCCGAAACCGGTGAAAATTCTTTCCAACTTTTGGCGATTGCTTCAATTCGGTTTTGGTAGAATAGTAGTAGTTTTAGCGGTTTGAAATTGCTGCCTACTGCTAATATCACTTCATGTGTACTGGTTTTTATCTACAAAAATTTATGTTTTATATCATGTGAATCTCTTAAGATCGTGGTGGTGGTGTTGGTGTATTTAAAAGGCTTCACATCCAGTGGGTGGTTGTCATGTGTTATGTAATCGTCACGGGAATTATTACAAATTAGGTAGTTTCAACACATGATTACTTTGTGATTAATTTGAAGCGCGCGCGTGGTTATTTCAGTACGAGTTCAATCGAGATAAGAATCCGAAAAGAAACTCTATTTGATCAGTTACCTCCTACTGGTGGGGGTGGGGGGTGGGATGTTTACGTAGCTACACCACTCAATACATGATATGCATATACTACTTATTGATTGGCATGAGTAGTTGACTACTACTCACATCTCATTAAAGTAATCTAAACACTGGAGTGCCTGCTTTGGCTCTCCGAGCTTGTCAGTTATGTTACCCCGTTTAATTCACTTCAGGGCCAAGTTAAACTTTAAGCACCACTAACTACCAATCAGTGAATGACCTCGAATGTTCCAATGGGGTTCATGCACGCGAGTTCAAGGTTGTATAGTGCTTGATTCGTATCAAACAAAAGTTACGCTTGCAGTTAAATGAGGATAAAGTTTTGCAGTATTGCCTGGATTTGCGGTTGCTTAGGAAGGAGAAATATCGCCTCATGGAGAATGGAGAGAATTACTTCGTTGTTAGGCGGAGAAGGTATCATCATACACGTGGACGAAACTGTGTTACTGAAGACAAAAAATACAACTGTGGTCGTGAGCGAGCCAACAATGTTTGCGTGATCGGTTTTTATGACACCTTCCTGCGGAAAGAATTCATGGAGAGAATACCAGATAGGAAGTCTACTACCTTTGTACCTATTGTCACTCAACTTGTGAAACTGGGATCCATTGTACATACTGATGGATAGAAAGTTATAACTCGCTGTCATGTCTTGGATATGTTCATTACAGAGTGAACCATTTAGGGATTGTGTGGATCCAATTAAAGAGACACATACGAATTGTATAGAAGGATTTTGCGCAAGATTAAAAAATGGGATTAGGGCTATAAATGGACCGCATTTATAGTTATTTGGATGAGTATTTGTAAAGAATGTGGTGTAACTTTTCTATTGACTCCCCTATGCTAAACTGGGAGATGTTTCTGTCACATGTTAGAGAAAGATACCCTACGTAACAGGTTTTATGCTTTTTTCCATAAATATACGTTTTCCTTAATCAAAAATCCCTGTTTCTTGTGATTGGTCCGTTGAAGGTCGTTCGCTGATTGCTGGTTACTGGTGCTTAAAGTTTAACTTTGCCCACTTCAGAAAGGTATCAGATCAGTTCAAACCACATGAATTCTGGCTACCTGCTTATGTGAACTGGTAATGCGTGAAGTCAAGTTCTCACGATTTGAAATTTACTCATAGTTCCAACTGAAATTTCAACCGTGTTTCCTTCATGGAAACCGAAATTATTCGGATCGCACAATTCAATGTGACCTGCCTGATATCACAAATAAAAAAATTGCGAATTTAATTAAACACAAATACGAGTTCGCTTAGCGCAGCTAGCCAGAATTCGGGTGATGTGATGCTGGCATACTTACCGTCGGCGTCCAACAATCGTTATATTTCTTGGCGCCTAAAGGCGGAATTCGATTCTGTCGATCGAGAGGTACTACGGCGATACTTGACTGTGCAGGGAATGCCGAGAAAATACATCGCACTGATCAAGGCACTCACTCTACTCGAACCCATGCAGTCAGGTGAGGGCTTACGGTGAGTTGTTATCTAAAGTGGTGACAACCAATGTAGTGGTGTCCGTCAGGGATGCTCATTATCCCCATTCCTATTCAACTTCATCATCGATGTACTAATGGATTAAACCCCAACTCACTTCAGAGACACAGGGGTTGACTTGCTACCAGGGAATAATGTCGTTGACTTAGAATATGGGGATGATATAGTCCTTCTAGGTGAAGGCGCTGACAAAATGGAGCAAAGTCTTCTAAACGCCTTGAGCAGCAATCAACGAATGTTGGCATTTGGTTCGCTCCGGCTATCAGATGTAAGTCGATGTTACAGGACTGAACGACACTGACTCCTAGTTTAGAAATAGAGAGTGAAGTGGTAGAACACGTTTACCGCTTCACTTATTTGGGAAGTTGTATCAGTCAACGCCAGAGGGTTGATCTCTGACGAAATCTCAGCTTGGATACAGAAGGCTCGTTTGACATGTGGCAATTTACACTGTCTCTGGGGTAGACATGATATCCAGTTGGCTGGCTGCCGACTGAAGGGCGTCTGCACTGCTCAGCGGTTCACTCTGTCCTCCCTTATGACTGGCTGTGAGACCTGTCTATCGGAAGTGGGAGACATGAAAAGACCGGCAGGTTATCTTTCATCATAGGTGTCTGCATTCTGTCGACCGTGTGCATTCTTTTATTTTTAATCAGCGATGACACACTGGCTGGCAGTGATCCTATAAGTCGCTAATTGATTTAGGCTCGAATTCATGGGGATTCCATCCCCAATGGTGAATAACCAATGCGCTCCTGTCGTGTAACCTCAAGGTTGTGGGTTCGGTCACATGTGGTTCGGGTTGTAAGTGCTTACTACTTAAGAGTCTCAGAGAAGGACTAAACATGTTGTCTTATACTCTCCGGTTTTTAGTGATTGCTCTAAATAATGTTGGTGTGCAGTGAAATGTAACAACTAACATTAATCGGAATCTCCACAAATCTCACAATCTCCATCTCATTGACGGCTACTGCATACATGTCTTGAAGCTGTCCTGCAAAGTGTTGTGGCCACTGAAAGTGTCCACGACGTATTCCAGATGAAGTGCATGTTCGTCAACGGTACTGATTCAGAAGACTAGAGCTATATCACACATCACAAATTAATCAATGTTAGAATTCACAGCTTAGCATAAACTGTGAAAAGTCCTAACTTCGATTCTCTAATGATTGTGTTGCCATGGGTGTTTCATGAGTACTGGTAAAGAATTCCAAACTGACGGAAGGAAACCGCCGTCAATTACTTGCTGCCTTTAGGGATTTTCAGTGGTGCTCTAACTGATATCAATACTGTGATCAAACGTTATTCTCTCTTTTTCTCATCTTCTCTGTGTTTTCTCATTAACGCTCTAATAGTTGTTTGTTTATATATATATATATATATATATATATATATATATATATATGTGTGTGTGTAAGTATCTCTGAGTACATAAATATTCTCTTCACTATATACACCCAGAAAATAATCATCGGTGGTTTGATTGACGGACTTATCAATCGATTGGTCGATTGATTGATTGATTGATGGCTTAAGGTAGTTACTAATCTTGACAATTCTTCTTCACAGTACACAATATTCTTGTACTCTTCTTTTGTAGGAGTTATAATACAGATGATCTCTTTTTTATAAACAACTGTTTATTTATTTGTGAATTGATTCGTTTAAATTTTGGTTATGTTGGTTGGTTGGCTGGCTTAGTTAATTAAGTAAGTAATTAATTGGTTCAACTGATTATCGATTTTTTCTTCTCCGGTTGTTTCTGTTCTTCTTTCTCTCTCTCTCTCTTCTAATCAAATTCTTCAATTATTGAGATATATAAAATGTGTTTTATAAACACATATTGAAAAGGCCTTTTTTAAAACCTTTTTATAGTATACAGGGGTCTTTTGTTATATTATATATATATATGTGTATATCTTGTATTATACATTACATGAGTACTATTGGTCTGTTCGTTCTATAGGCATACGCCTACATACCTGCAACACTCACAGACACACACATACACCTACTAACTAACAAAGTAACCAACTAACAAACCACTGTATGCTTTAACTAAACAAAGTATTGCGCTTTTGTTGTTGTTGTTGTTTTTCTTTCTCACTTCTTCTACGTCGGTGTCCTTATCCTTCATCTTCCGTGTTATTTTCATGTCCAGTTGATGTCATCTCGTCTCGGCGGTGTCAGTGGTCTAAGCAGTATGACCGGTGGTAGTAGTGAGCATGGAGGAGGAGGAGCACAGGCAGCAGCTGGAGGAGGAGGAGGAGTTGGAGTGCCAGGCGGTGGATTAATCGATTATGAAGATCGAGTAAGTGTGAATAATTTTGTATCATGATGTATTTCACCTGATAACACTTTGTACTGTTTATGGTTAGTTATGCATGATGTTGACCTTGACATACATTAAAGAATCGATGTTTGTGAGTTGAGTGTTTGAAACACTAGTGGGGTTCGAGCCCACACCGGCGCACACCTGATATCTTTGGTCGCCTGCAAAATTTGGGCTACCGATATCCATGCTGAAAATTCCATACTTGTACCAAAAATACAGTGTGGAATCAAGCTGTATATCAAAAATAAAAATAAAAAAATAAAAAAATTTCACTGTGTGATCACATAAATGGCATAAAGGTAGGTAGGGTAAACATATTATTGTTATCATTGTTATTAGTTGGTCATTAGTTGGTCTTAGCCACGTAGGAAGGTGTAGACTTCCAGGCTGGGGTCCTCGGGACGGTAAAAATCTATGGTTGGAAACAATTGGTGACATGGCTCAAAACCGTTCTCAGTGGCGCAGATGCATCCACTCCCTGTGACTTATGATCTCCAATGAAACTGTTTTGTTATTCTTTATTCTCCTTTGTCTCACACCTCTCCTCACTGTTTCTATTATGCTTTTCTTGTACTTTCTTCTCTTGCTTCGCGTGCTACACGGAATGTGGCGACTTGAACTGTTGCACATTTGTGCAAAGTTCTATGTCAAAAACAGACAGACAGATAGACAGACAGACAGATCATTGTTATTATTATTATTATTATATCCTTTAATTCCCAGAGGATCATAGGGCTTCAGCCGCGCGTCTCCATTGCGTTCACCGCGCTCCAAGTCTATTCATACGCTTTTATCTCTTCTTCACATGACCTCCTCCAAGTCACCCTTGCACTGACTACCAACTCTCCGCTTCCCGTTGGGGTTCCACTCGAGCAATGGCCTGCTGTGTGATGTCACTTGATGCTTTGGTTTCTCAGAGTATGATCAATCCATCTCCATTTCTTCCTGGCTATTTGTTTTTTACAATCGGTTCCTGGTTGGTTCGCTCATTACCAGAGATCCCTGTAGCTGATCTTTTCTGGCCGGCCATCTGATCTTGGGTACTATTGAGCGAAGACAGCTAGCTGTTAATGAAAGTCTATAGTTTGTTTGAGATGCTCTTTATGACATGGCGCCAGGTCTCTGATCTGTATAGTAGCACTGACTTCACATTGAAGTTGAAAATCTGGATCTTATTTTTGATGCTGAATACTGTTGACCTCCATACAGACTTGAGAGTAGTGAAAGCTTGTCTTGCTTTTCCGATCCTTGCTTTGATATCCTCATCAGTTCCGTCTGCGTGTAGTTGACACGATGCTTCCCACGTAGGTAGGTGAAGGAGGTTGTTTCTTTCGGATTTCTCCCATTTATGCTGATTGTTTTCTGTTGTTGTTGTTGTGGCTGTTGTTGTTGGCCAGAAATCTTCATCACCTCTGTTTTCTCTATGTTCACCTGAGGTCCTTTCTTCTCTGGATGCTTTTTCTGCCAACTTGTTGCTTTTCACTAGCATATCTTCCAGTTTGTGGGAAATCAGACATGTATCATCGGCGAAGTCCAGATTCTCCGAGTTTTTGGTAAGGGTCCATTTTATGCCTGTTTCCTCATTGCCCGTTGTCTGTTATTATTGATCTTTTGGATTACGAGTGAAAGATAGGACCTCAGCAGTACATCTCTATTTCATCCTGTTCTCTGCAGCCCATAAGCTTTTACCTCCGCCTTACACGACATCTTCCATATCACGCTTAAAGTGACACACATCTTGGCGTTTCTCATTCGGGTTTAACTTGGAGATGTGTGTGGCGCGTCATGTTACTCAACGGTCTCTTCAGCGTGTAGTCATTTTCTTCGGTGTATATGTTAGATGACAGTTTATTCGTTGGGTTGTTGTTAATGCATTTTAGCCGGCTGTCTAATCTACAACTGTTGATATAAGTGTGCAGCTTGTTTGAAATGTTTTTTCAAGTATTGTGGTTTTGTAGGGATTTTTGTTTGATTGCATGGATGATTTCATCATGAGCTGACATCAGTTAGAGAACCACTGGAAAACCTTGGAGTACTGGACAGCTGTTTCGCCAGCCTAGTTTGGGATTCTTCAGCAGCGGGAAGCCCTGAACAGTGGGATACAGCAGGTTGAAGATGAGGCAGTAACTCATCGACGAGGAAGACATTACGAAATGGTGCCGATATGTCGGCAATTGGTAGAAAGTAGAATTCAAGGACCATTGCATCGGGTCCCAGTGATTTAATGGTGTATGAGTTCGCCTTGTGCCTAGAAAGTCCTAGGTTCAAACCCTGGTGGTGAGTGCGTACTGTGAAGAGTCCCAAACTGGCCTGGCGAAACAGCTGCCCAGTACTCTGGCGGTGGTTTTCCAATGGTTCTCTAACTGATGTCATCTCGTGATGAAACCTTCGAACCAATCAAACACAATCCCTACAAAAACCAATGCTTGAAAATTCATATTAAATTAAAGTAAATGGTTAGTCGTTGTCACACATAGAGGAGTATAATTGAGAAAAATAAATTAGAATATTACTCTATCTGTTATGACTACGTGTAATTGTTCAGTTGAAGAGTATAGAAGTTGATTGAAAAATGTACATAACATATTGATTTATGTTACATTGTTTGTGCTACAGCCAGAATACTATCCTAACTACCAGAGTGAGGCAGGTAGATGTCTTAAGGGACCACCCCACGAGCGTATGAATTAAAGTCCCATCCACTACTAAGCAGTGAAACAGAATCAGGAACTACGTTCCCATGTTTGCCGGTGATGAATACCTGTGCTTTTTGGATATTGGAATCCGTGTACCTCATAGTAGCTACTTTTAGTCTAACCGCTAACCAAACAACCTCCATGGAGTGTTAGGATCTGTAGGAACATAAGTTCCAGTCAGTGTAGCTTGTTGGGTCGCTGTGGTATGCAATCCGCCAACCACCACCACGTTCGGGCTTCATGTAGACATCAGATGGTTAAATGCCTATATTTCTGTGTCTGATTGAATACCAAGTCGTCATCCACTGGTTTGTAAACTAATTGGTTCGCTTTTTATGTATGTCTTCTAATAATTAACGGTATTATATGCGATCAATTGTTCCCACAGTTAACTAACCTCAATGATAAGCAGTGGTAAAACTCCTTCATAGAATATCCGTGTTTTTGCTTTTCATTTCCTCGTGTGTCGAGTGGTGGAATATGTGGAGCTTCCAGCTTTTTTGAAGATTCAACTGTGGTGTGGCATTGCCAGCCACCTCATGCTAGCCCAACCCTTCCTTCTTTTCCGGGTTTATTTATTTATTTATTTAAACGCATAAAAAACTTGGTACAATATGGCACCAAGAAAGATGCGCCACACAATAATAATAAAACAACATAGATCAAAAAAAGGAAGGAAGGAAAGAAAAAATATATATAAGTAGAGAACGGATAAAGAACTTCATCTGGAAGGAAAACAGTCATGCTTAACAAGTTCAAACAGTGTTCGTTAGCTATCATCGGGAAGGGAAGAAAGAAGGAAATCGCAACACATTCGCCACTGATTACGATTCTTGGCCATATCCGATAACGTTTCGAGCCATCGATTTGAGCTATCTCTCGGACCCCAACCAGGGAGTCGTGACACACCAACCGATGCTAATCTAGCACAAAAATCCTTCATCCCACGACGCCACGTCATGGACTGACCACCTCTCCGCCTTTTCCATCCCGTCCCAGGGCTAGCGAACAGAGACCTGTACGGAAGCCTCTGGGGTGACATTCGGAGCACATGTCCAAGCCACCGGAGCCGGTGTTTCCAGATGACGACATTCAATGAATGGTGATCTCCACTTTGTTCAAACACACGCCGCCGAACCTCAGAATTACTCACGCGATGATGCCATCGAACGCAAGCAATCCTGCGGAGACAGCGGTGATCGAACACGCAGAGTCGCCGCACATCCTCAGCTCGGAGAGGCCAGGTTTCACAGGCGTAGAGCAGCGCAGCCCGCACCGAAGCATTGTATACCCGACCTTTGACAGCCAGGCTAACGTCGCGACGGCGCCATAGGTGGCTCAAGTTGATGTATGCCACCCTAGCCTTCATTATACGGTTGGAAATCTCATCCGTCACCCCTCCGCCAGCACTCACACAACTACCCAGGTACACAAACTTATCAACAACTTCAAGCGGTTCACCCGCAAGAGTGAGTGCAGGTACAGGCTCCTGCCAATCTTGTAACAGTACTTTGCACTTAGACGGCGCAAAGCACATACCATACTTACAGACACTGATCGCCAACTGATTAAGTGCGATTTGGGCAGCCTGCATGCTATCGCACAGTAAGACGATATCGTCTGCATACTCGAGGTCGAAAAGTCTATCTCCAGGTAGCAGATCTACACCACCTTCACGCACATCCTTCAGAGCTGACTCCAGAATGTCATCGATGGCAAAGTTAAAGAGAAATGGAGAGATTGGGCAACCCTGTCTAACCCCACTGTTGGTTGGGAACAGTGGTGATAGTTGGTTGTATGCCCTCACTCTACCTGAGGTGTTTCTGTATAGGGCTTTCAGGATGTTAACAAATTTCTCAGGTACACCTCTCTCTAACAGACAGTTCCAGAGCACAGTTCTGTCCAACGAATCGAAGGCAGCCCTAATATCAAGAAACACAACGATCGTTGGCCTGCAATACGTGTGGCGGTGTTCCAACAACTGACGAAGGGTGAACACATGATCAATGCATCCACGACCTGAACGAAACCCAGCCTGCTCTTCGCGAATCAATCCTTCACGTATTTTGCACAGTCTGCGAAGCAAGACAGCAGCCAATATTTTAGACGCGACTGGTAACAGACTGATACCCCTATGCTTGTTTACTACTTACTATCTACTCAAGGAGTACGTCAGCATCCGGGAATCAAGCCTGGTTCATATAATTAGTTAGTGAGTCTTCTAGAACATACTTGTACTGTTCCTTAGCATCCTGTACGGTCATCACAAAACGCTACAGGTATCTCTAAAGAGCATTGACTGAGGATATCGCTATATCATGGATTGACAGTAGTTGAAACTCCTAAGTTCATTGAATTGACTGAATGTTGAAAGACTCTGGCATTGTAACTTGTAAGTTCTGGGCTCAACCGCTACTGGAGTTGTGGACGCTTATTGGTGAAGAGTCCCAAATTAGTTCGAAACGGCAAGGTGTCAAGTGCCACATGGTTCTCAGTGATATCTGACTGATTTCCGCTCGTGACAAAATCTACGCAGTAAGAATGGTAGAATGCTCGCGAGACACCTGACAGATGGATGGATTCCCATCTGACACACTCCATGCTGTAGCCTAACTTACTAGCAGCCAGTGAGCCCGGGAAAGATGGAAGGCCGGCTGTGAGACTAGAAAATCTTCCCCGTAAAATAAAGCATAAACGTCTATATGGAGATTTTAAAATTGAAGATTTGAAGCTGTACTTGAATTTCTGTCCTAATATTCCGTTGGTAGAGGAGAGTAATTAAATTAAGGACATTAATTTCTTTGCTATTACATATAATTGTTCAATCGAAGAGTATGGAACGATAAGAGAGATATAAGAGACGGGTTTTAGACGTTGATTCATGGTACATATCAAGTGCCCAAGTGTATTTCTGTTTGTTTCTCCCACTGACTTCCGACCATCACGAATAGTCCAGCTGGCAATCAAGGGTATTATCTGTCTGTCTGGATTCAACAAAGACCTTGGCACCGAAGTGCACCAGTTCGAGTTTCCACGTTCCAAATAGCACACAAAAGTAGACAAGAAGATGAGTGAAGAGAATCAATAGAGTTTGACAAGTATAAGAGGGAAACAGAATGAGTAATGGTAGAAAGGAGTATGAAAGATTACAGAGACTGAATACATCTGCGCTGGCCATTGACAACGATTTTGATCCATGTCACCTATTATCTCTAGCTATTGAGTCCCGGGGGCCCCAACCCGGAAGTATGCATCTTTCTACCTGACTCAGTTTAACTGTCAAGGATTTCATGGATTGATGCCATGCTTTTGTTTGGCCACCACTTACTCTTTTCCAACCTGCACCTATATCAGCTAGTAATGCCTGTCGGGGGAAGGCGATGGTTAGGCATGCGCACGCAGCACGTCACCTAGCCATCTCAATCTATGTAACTTTATAGCCTCGTCGAATGGTTTTCCCTGTTTGCCCAACACTCTACGCCTAACGTAAACATTACTTACCTTGTGAAACCACCTAACGTGAGAAAGAGATCGTAGACATCTATGATGAAAAACAGTCAACGTTTTCATGTCTTCAACTCGTATTGGCCATGTTTCAGAGCCATAGACAAGGACGGAGCGAACTGATGAGTAGTACACACGTCCCTTGGTTGATAGCCGGATGTCACGCCTACGCCAGAGATGGTGTAAGTTGGCGAAAGCAGCTCGAGCTTTCTGGATCCGTGCTGAGATTTCGTCGCCAATCAGTCCTTTGGTACTGATAAAACTTCCCAAATAGGTGAAGTGGTAAGTCAACATGTTTTATCACTTCACTCCCTATCACTAAGTTAGGAGTTGACGTAGTCCAGTCCAGTCCTGTAGCAGCATCTTACATTTTATCCAATACTATGATTCAAACAAATTCACAAGGGTGTTATGGGCGAGGAATTGCCCCCATAGTTAACTACAGAACAGACTATGGAGTTACATCGATTGAGGTGGTTAGCACATGTGTTACAGATGCATCCCTAGCCATGATCTTCCTTGATGGACACTGTTAACTGACCGACATAGGATCAGGTTAGAAAAAAAGCAGTGGTGGTGGTGGTGGTCAAGCCAAAACATGGCTTTATGAATCAATGGAATCCACAACAGTTCGTTTAAGCCGGCAGAGAGGTGAAGACTTCCTGGTTAGAGTCCTCGACACGGTAAACACCAACTGATAGAGACAATTGGCGACATGGTTCAAAATCGTTCTCAATGGCTTTCTCAGATGCACCCAATAGGAAGGACTATATTGTTCTTCGATATTACTATTCTTTTTGCCTCACAATTCTCGGTTTACTGTCACTGTTTTGCACTTCTTTTTACTTTCTTCTCTTGCTTTGTGTGCTACCATGGATGGAGTGTGGCGACTTGAACTGCTGCACATCGGTGCAAAGTTCTACGTTGAAACCAGTCAGTCAGTCAGTCAGTCAGTCAGTCAGTCAGTCAGTCAGTCAGTCAGTCAGTCAGTCAGTCAGTCAGTCAGTCAGTCAGTCAGTCAGTCAGTCAGTCAGTCAGTCAGTCATAAACGCCTTTATAGAATATACCTGTTTTTTCGATCCTTTTGTGTTTCGGGAGGTGGAATATAGAGAGGTTGTAGATTTGAAGATTCAGTGGTAGTGTGTGTGGGATTACCAGCCACTTCACATGCCAGTTCAATCCTTCCCTCTTTTCTGGGCTTACTTCCACTGTTGACTAGGCGAAGTCTTTGTAATAATGCATCGGTAGCCGGGACTCGAGCCAAGACCCCATATACGTGTTTGATGGGGTGAGCTTTCTATAATACTGTGGGTGTTTGCCTCATCTTGTGAAATACAATGCTCCTTTTTATTTGTTTTTCTTACCTTTTATCCACTTAAATAATATTTTTTATTATATGGTCTATTATTACTTATAGTAATATCAGTAGTAGTAGTAGAGGCATTGTAATAATAGTCTATTGTTGTTTTTTCTCTTATGCCCTACTTCTTGTTTCTTTCAGTTATGCAAAGCAGCTGAACAATACAAAACTTTATTGATTGAAAAGGAACAATTAGCTGAACAATGTAACGCTTTAAAAATTGAAGTAAGTTGGGTTGTATTCATTGTTTTCTCATTTCCTGTGTGTGTGTGTCTCTGTCTCTCGCCACCGTCCCCTCAGACACACACAAACATACATACACTTTTGTACTTTTTCTTTTGTGAATGGTTATAACGTGTATGATTGATAACATATGCGTTTGTGTAGTGTATGCATGAGTTGATTGGTTGGTCGTAGAGGCGACGGGGGTGGGGTGGGGGGTAACTTTACACATAAAAATGTTAAAGTTCAAATTGTTTTATTTCATTAAAGTACATAGAAATAAGGGTACAGAAAAAGAAAGCAGAAGAAAGTCCTTCAAAAACTGTAATAAACACTAAGTTATTGCAGGATTTCATCATGAATTGACAACGGTCAGAGAACCATTTAGAAACCAGCTGCGAGTACTGGATAGTCAGCCTAGTTTGGGAGTCATCATTAGGTCTCACCCATTGTGGTTGGAACCCAGGTAACTATCTGCCTATATGAATAGGGTTATTCAGTAGTGAGCATCAGATTGATATTCCAAGTGTTGGTTCTGGTGAGAAGTCGTGACCAGTGGGGTATATCAGGTCGGGTGTGAGGACAAATACTCGCCAGCGATGACATTCGCTAGTGCCCGGTCGCGTTATATCATGAATTGGTAGAAGTTGGAATTCATGGTCTGGCCATTGGATCGGGTCTCAGTAACTTAATGGTCTACGAGCTCACCTTGTGGCCACAGGATCGTGTGTTCAAACCTCTGTGTGCATACTGCTGAAGAGTCGCGAACTAGGACGAAACAGCTCTCCAGTACTTCCAATTGGTTTTCAAATGATCCTCAAACGAATGTCAGTTCATGATGTGATCCTGAAACAACTCAAATCCATGTAAATCAACACTTGAATAGAAATTATTCCCTTGGTTTCCTAGTGGAATAAAGGGCTTCAACAGCAGATTTCCATTTTGTCGTGTTCTCTGGAGTCCTCTTCAGCTGGCTCCACGATCTCCCCTTCACACGATCTTTTCTATGAGGCATTCAACTCGGCGCTTCCTATCGTATTCAGGTTCCACTCAAACAATGGCCTACTGACACGTGATGTCATTTAACGGGTCTCCTCAGTGTTTATCCAATCCGTCTCCATTTGCTTCTGTATATTTGTTAGGGTAAAACGTTCTTGTTTGGTTCGTTGTTTGGCCGAGTTTCTTGTTGCTAATCCTTTCTAGTTGGCCATCTAATTTCCGAAATCGAGCTAGGCTATCTCTCTAAGCACATGTCCCTAGCTATCTCAGTCTATGCAGCTTCACAGTCTCACTACTTGATTTGCCATCCTTACAGGACTGTGTACATTTAACCTTACCGTTATTTATCATCACGTACTGTTAAATGCATAGGGGTGGTAAAGCGCAAATTTTTGAGTGGTCAGCGATAGCTATTCTCTTTAGTTCTTCCGGTTTCAACGGCCATATATCACCTCCCCTCATAAAGTAGGACAGACAGAACCGTTGTGCAGTACACACATTTTGTTAGATGGATAGCTAGATTTTAAATTTACGCCAAGGATAACATAGTTTAGCAGATACTACGTGAGATTTTTGCTGTCGATGCTGAGATTTCTTCATAAATCAGCTCATTAGAGCTGGTGTTCAAGAAGACTCGACATTTTGCCGTCATTTTCATCGCATACTCTGTCTGTCTATCTGTCTGTTTTCGACATAGAACTTTGCACAAATGTGCAACAGTTCAAGTCACCGCATTCCCTCCTTGTAGTACACAAAGCAAGAGAACAGAGTACAAGAAAAGCATAATAGAGACAGTAAACAGAGGTGTGAGACAAAGGAGGAGTAATAACGAAGAACAAAACAGTTTCATTGGAAATCATAAATCACAAGGAGTGGATGCATCTGCCCTGGCCACTGAGAACGATTTTGAGCCATGTCACCAATTGTTTCCAACCATAGATTTTTACCGTTCCGAGGGCCCCAGCCTGGAAGTCTACACCTTCCTACGTGGCTTAGACTAACTGTTACGGATTTCATTGACTGGTGCCAAGTTTTTGTTTGACCGCCACTAGCTTTTTTCCAGCCTGATCCTACATCCGCTAATATTGCTCGTCGAGGAAGGCGATTACCAGGCATACGTAACACATGTCCTAACCATCTCAGTCTTTGTAACTTCACGACTTCGTCGATTGATTTCCCCTGTTTACCTAGAACTCTACGCCTAACCTCAATATTGCTCACCTTATTATGCCACTTTATACGGGAAATAGAGCGCAGGCATCTATGATCAAAGACAACCAGTCTTTTCATGTCTTCCACTCTCAGTGGCCAGGTCTCACAGCTGGCCATAAGGGGGGATGGAGCGGACTGATGAGCAATACACCCGCCCTTTGGTCGATAGTTGAACATCTCGTCTACGCCAGAGACGGCGTAAACTGGCAAGTGCGAAACGAGCCCCCTGTATTCGTGCTGAGATTTCGTCAGAGATCAGCCCGTTGAGGCTGATGGTGCTCTAAATGGAGGTGACTTTTCCTTGGTGATAAGACGATTGGCGTAGCTTCTCATAGTACATCTACAATGCAATTAAATGAAAATAGAGACATTAAGAATCTTGAACGGATACTGCTATTTGTCCTCAGTTCAGATGATAACCGTCCATATAAGCACTTTCTTGACTGCATGATATTCAAGTACCGTATCTTGATTGACTAATGTGGTGCCATATACAATTCGATATAAGATAAGTTTATTTTGATTGGGAAAGCAAGGCAAGATTTCATTACTGTCAAGTCTTTGTGGAGGTTAACACTCAACATGAAAATTAACATCCGGATTTTCTACTCCAATGTGAGGTCAGTACTACTGTAACAACAGAAGACAAGGGCCGGAAAACAGGTCGTTTATTAAGGAGATTAACGCATATTTATATATTTTCATGCACATTATTATGGATTATTTAAGAAAACAAACAAGGTCCTCTGATTGGTTGTTTCTCACTGAAAGTTAACCTTTCATCTCTTTGTGGCTGTTTCTTGAATGTCAGATCATCTATATGCTGACTGTATCCGCCTGCATTTTTCTTACGACCAATATTGGGGACATAAACATTGACGTAAATTACTGTCTACCAACTTCGGCTAGCAGCCAGCTCTCACTACACTACTACACGGATCAGACACTTGGCGCGTCACGATGTGCATTTTGAACAAATTACACACCTTCATCATCAACAGCTGTTTTCGCTTAATACTCAAGATCAGTATACTGGCCAGAAAGGATCAGCAACAGGGATAATTATGTAATTTAACAAGGATAGCAAAAGGAGACTAAAGCAGACAATAGTTCTTAAACTGATGTAAAAGTCTGAGTTTGTGAATGTGAGATTACAAGGTACGGTGGGGGAAATAAAATGACACAGGATTAGAAAATAGTTGCGTAATACGTAGAACAGTTTTTGACGAAAACAGGTGTGAACAGGATGTGCGTGCGAACAAATTGAAATCATAGTTTTTTATAACATGGACCAGTTTTGTTTTGAACACCTACCGCCAGGTTCCTGATGTTTGTGAAAAGGGCTTCCGCAAAGAAGTTGAAGGCACACCATCTCTAGCAGAGTTTTGTTCACTCAGTAAATGCTGGTTGATTGAAGATACTGTGAAAAAAACTGACGATCAGTGCTGCTTCTTTGCAGCCATGTGTTTCCTAATACAGTTTGAAGGGGTAGGCATAGAAGAACTTATTTACCCTAGCTCTGCAGGAAATTCTGTGGGATGAAAACGATGAAAGACATATCTTTGCTGAATTTTTTGTTCTATTCTCTCTCTCTATTGTGCTACATGACTGGACTACATTCACTCCTAGCTTAGAAATGGGGAGTGAAGTGGTTGGTAGAGCGTATTGACCTGACCACTTCACTAATTGGATAAGTTTCATCAGTCAATGCCAGTGGATTGATCGCTGGCGAAATCTCACCTCGAATACAGAAGGCTCAGTTCGCAAATGCCCGCCAACTTACGCCGTCTCTGGCGTAGACGTGATATCCTGCTGGTTGTCGACCAAAGGTCGTGTTTACTCCTCAGCAGTTCACTCTGCCCTCCCTTATGGCTGGCTGTGAGACATGACCATTGAAACCGGAGGCATGAAAAGCCTGGCCAGCTGTCTTTGATCATAGATGTCTGCGTTCTATCTCCCGTGTGCGTTAGATGGTATAATAAGGTGAGCAATATTGAGGTTAGGCACCAGTGGAATGCTAGGTAGGTGTGAGGGGAAATCAATCGACAAGGCTGTGAAGTTACATCGACTGAGATGGTTAGGACATGTGTTACGTATGCATGCCTATCTATCACCTTCCTCGGCAACAATGTTAGCTGACATAGGATAAATCAAGTTGAAAAGGAGCTGGTGATGGTCAAACGGAAACATGGCTTCACTAGTCAATGGAATCCATAAAAGTTAGTTTAAGCCAGCCACATAGGAAAGGTGCAGACTTCCTGTCTACGTGGTTGGGGTCCTTGGGATGTTAAAGACCAGTGAGGGCTGGAGACAGTTGGTGATACGGCTCAAACTCATCGTTTTCGGTGATGGCTGGCGCAGATGAATCCACTCATTGTGACTCATAATACCCAATAAAACTATATTGTTCTTCGATATTACTATTCTTTTTGCCTCACAATTCTGTGTTTACTGTCTCTATTTTTTGCATTTCTTTTTACTTTCTTCTCTTGCTTTGTGTACTACCATGGATGGAGTGTAGCGACTCAAACTGCTGCACCACATCAGTACAAAGTTCTATGTTGAAACCAGTCATTCAATCCTATTGTGTTCTTTTACAATAAATAACTTTATAAAATCTTTCTGATTTCAATTGTTGTTCTGTACTTATTTCTTCACACTATTGATTTTCTCTTCCTGACCACATATTATTTATAATATTGATTATTATTATTATTATTCTGATTTGACACGATAAGAACTTCTCTTTGTTCTGTCTTCTAACTATAGACTTAGTAAGAAAAGTACAAACAAAGATATCTTTATTGACACAAATCATGCGATCTGTTTGCTATGATTTATACGAGGTTTGTAATAGCAGAGAGTCGTCGTGTTTATCGATTTATCCAAGCCTAGTACCGCCCTAATGTATTTATGTATTAATGAAGATATAAGAGAATTAGAAATAATTGTCTTATACGAAGCATTTATATGAATTTAAGTGGTGAATAGTGAATACCAGTGGAATCCAGGATAAAGCGCATTTCGTCCTATTTGGGACTCGTCTGGCAGTTGGATATACCTGCATTCCCCCAATGAGTGATGATGTTCCCACCACGGAGGCTCAACCCTAGTGCCCATAGTTTCAAACGCCAAAGCGCTATCTACTAGACCACTTGGGCGACGAGAGCCACCACTTCTTGTGCAACGGTTCATATTAATTATTTAATTTAATTGAATTTTAGATTTTCCCGTCGATTGATTGGAAGCCGACATGTCAACCTGAGATCGAGCACTTCGATCCAATCAACCGACGGGAAAAGTTTAAAATTCAATTCAATAATTTATGTGAATTGTTTCGGCATTATGGCCCATTTTGAATAGACTTGAATAAAGCCATTTACTACTGCAGGTATGTTGACGATACGTTTGTAGTCTCTGCGATAATATGAATCACGCATCCACAGTGTTTGTAAAACTCAATGCGACTCATCCTCATATAGCATTTACAATAAATTTTGAACGTGACAGACAATCAGTTCCATTTTCTAGATCATCACAATGTATAGTAAAGAAGAAATAATAGGACAGTCGAAAAATTTATCTCTATAGGAAAAACAAAACTTGAACTGGTCAATACACTTGAATTGGTTGGAGGATTTCATCATGACCGCTGGCTCCCAGTTAGAGAACCGCTGGAAAACCAGCACTAGATTACTGGACAGCTGGTGGTATCGTCAGCCCAGTTGGGAACTCCTCAGCATTACACACCCACACTGCGCGGAGTTGCCTGAATTCCGGAAAAGGTTGCCTAGGATTCTAGTGAGAAATTGTGACTGGTGTGAGGAGGACAGGGATGCCAGCTGATGATGGATCTATCTATATATATGGGTGAATTGCCAGCCATCCTAGTAACCTGATGATTTTGGGTTCGATTCTCGGTGGGATAATGAGTGCGCGTACCCATGATGAGTCTTGAGCAAAGACGAAACAGCTATCCTAGTACTTTCTAGTGATTTTCAATGATTCTCACACTGATTTCGGTTCTTTATCAAACCAACATTTGTAGATAATCCCTTGAATAGATGATAGTTATTTTAGATAGCCGCCTCATTCACACTTTGTGAGCACTAACCTTTTCTTTTCTCTACCTTTTTGTCTCTATTCAGGTGTTCAATTTACAAGAGGAGAAATCAACTCTCCAGTCAGAATTAAATCAACTAAAAGTTCAATTGAATTCATTGGGTTATAGCAGCCATCAGATGTTGACAACAGAATCATTGTCAACAATAACATCAACAACAACAACAATAACTCCATCACAATCAACACCTTCCTCCATCTTAGAATCACTTCCAGTCGCCTTGAATCCTATAGATACAAATAATGTTATTATGAGTCCAACGATAGCTAATGTGCGTATCAGTCATTTACAAAATCAATTATCAAAATTACGTGATGAATTATACAGAACTGAATGCGGTAAGATATTCATTATTTTTTTTTTGTTTTTCAAGCCTCGGAAAAGTGTTTCGTCCTGGTGTCTGACTCATCGGAAGTAGGCACCCACCATGGAGTCATTGAATTGGGTCCCAGTGGCTGAATGGTCTAGAGGCATGCCTTGTAACCAGAAGGTCCTGGGTTCGAACCCAGCAGCGTGGGTGTGTGTGCTGATAAAGAGTCCCGAACTAGCACGAAACAGCTGTGCAGTACTCCCAGGTTTTCCAATGATTCTCTGACCAATGTCAGCTCATGATGAAATCCTGTAACCAATCAATCAAATACCTACAAACCAATACTTAAATGCTGTCTGAAGTGTTTGGCGTTTTCACTACTTTCAAAATCTCTACATTTTATCAGTTCAATTTGTGTCCATATTTGTCTACATGCATTGGTATAAAAGAATACAACAAGTTATGCCTTCCAACAGCTAGGTAGTTTGTATTTTTGAATTCAGTGTCGAAAAGGGCACGCCTAGTTTGACCAATATTGACTTTTTTCACTATTCATAGGATTTATTTTTTAGAACAACACATTTAAGTGAACAGTATTGTGGTTTCAATTAGAGATCTCATCAGACTCATATAAAATTTTGAGATTAATCACACTCTCTTTCTGTATGCATAAATGTGGTTGTGGTGTGAGTTGTTTGATTGCAATCGCTTCGGCAAATTGTAGTAAATTTGATGTCCTTTGTCTATTTAATATTTTGAAGGACTTAGAAATCTCTACGAGATGATGACCGGTGTCAGCAATATATCTGGTAAATCCACTCTGAGAATATTTGCTTCCTTTTAGGCACAGGTTTTATGGAATATATATTCAGGAAACCGGATAGAAACCCTTCTTTCTGTCCTTCTAAAATACTTGCTCCCACCCCCCCTCTTTGCAACTTTGAAAGCGTATAAATTGATAATGAAAACTTAAACTAAAAAAAATTGTAATGCTGCTTTCATTTTGGATGCGTCAATTTTATAGTATCTCTTCTCTGCTACCACTCAAACGTTAAAGTATGCTATTATCATCTATCTATGTAACCATTCTAATTTCAGGTAGTGGTGTGCAGCTGATGAGCGGAACCTGTGAAATAGAATGATGATATCACATTTTATACTGCAAATTTCGTCTTCCTTTCTTTATCGAAATTTATCAAAGGGACCAAATGTATAAAGTTTTCCTTATGTTATTGCAACGCCTTATGAATTGTAAAAGGCTAATCTGTGTGTGTATGTGTGGGTGTGTGGGTGTATCACACGCCCTGAAATTCGGTTACTTTTTTTAATTGACACTCTCACTCAATCTGAATACCGTTTCAGAACTAAAAGTCAGCTGATTATATACATAAGCTGAGCGAGCATAAGTAAGTTAAACAACAGAACACACTAACTGACTGACATCGCTCCACTTGCCAATTTTTCTTTTCCTTCCCCTTTTTTGAGCAATTTAAACAGACAGTATTTACTGATTCTCTCATTCAAAAGACATAAATAATCATTACACGGCTCATTCTCAAAAGTGCATGTGATTGGCGTGTTATTTTACAGCAGGTGATTTGTTCTGTTCGTTATATATATATATATATATATATATATATATATATATATATATATATATATATATATATATATATCAGCTGATTTATGTGTGTATGTAGCCTCCAAAGCCTCAGGATGGTCGGGGGTGGGTGCCTTGCGCTGCGGGTTGACCACCCCTCCGTACACCTCTTGAAATGCTCCCATATGACCGGGCGTCTTACATAGCCTCTCCTGAGGAAGTTCTACTCACTGCCTTCACGTGGCGGAGGTGTTTTTCACCAAAGTGAGAGGGCAAAAGCGTATGTCCGGCGCTCTTCACCGGATTGACTGTCCATTGGATGACAGTCTAGGGGAGATGGCTAAACCCTGATTCCAAACCTCCAACGACTGGCGTATGAAGCTCACCGGAGGTCACCGGCAGACGTATGGACAAAGGGCTTATTGGATGCCCTGGATGACTGGCCCCATTCTAAAAGGCGAATGAACCGGACTCCGGTCACCGGCTTCCAATGGATAGTGGACTCCCTACTCCACTCCTGCTGCCTTGTAGGTCACACTTGGTTGTGTAAAGGCTAGAGCTGCACTCTCAAACAAAGGCCGAACGATGCTGGGGACATCACTCGTACCTCATTCCCATGAAACTTCATGGTTCATGAAGCCGGCTCATCCTCCCGTAGGAGACAGCCGAAGTAAAGTAAAGTGTGTGTATGTAGTGCGAAGAAGACGAATATACGGGCGTATCCTAAAGTTTGTGGAAGCCTCAGCAGTTAGAAAGTTTAAACCACTTCTATGCATTCAAAGCAACAATTCGTCATCACACTAAACCTACCTTTCTTGGTAAACTTTGTTTTGATACCATGCCAGCCAGGGTAGATGTACTATTACCTCTGTTATTTGGTTTAGTGGTCTTCATTGTTATTTTCACCTTTAATGTGTCCTTTTAACTTGACCTAAGTAGTCTATTTTCTCACCTCTTAACTTTTTATTAATTTCATATATACATATTTCGATGACAAGTCCGTGTGCAATCAGATTGTTCGAAATTTGTTGCGCAAATACAATACACACATCAACGGATGTGTGTACTGTGTAGGAGTTCTCTCTGTGTCTTCCTTTACGAGTATGAGGTTGGCTCTGTCTTCCTCTGCGGCTATGAGGCATGGTTGTTGTAAGTGGTTTATCTCAAAATAGCTAGCTACCTTTGACCCCTGGTGTATACCGGGGTAGGGGGGTGGGGGTTATGATATAGTGATTAATAATGAGATTGGTCACACAGTTTTGTGTAACGAGAGTTAGTCAATCGATGAGGCTGTGTAGCTACTTCGAATGAGATGACTAGGACACATGCTGCTCATGTGCCGAGCCACGTTGCCTCCCTTGACGTTTAATGTTAGCTGGCATAGGATAAAGATAGACGGTTTGATTCGAGGTATTCAGGGAGGTGTACACTGATTGGTTTGTCTTCTTCGAGATATTAAAAACCAGTGGCTTGAGATTATTGGTGATATGGATGAAAAAATCGTTCTCATTGGCGCAGAGGTGCATTGACTCTTTATGACAACTCTTGTATCGCTTAAGCTGTCCTGTTTTTAGATGTAATTCATGCTGTCTCCAGTACGTTTTTGCGTGAATATTTTCAGAATAGTAAAGATTGATCAAAATTGTTGCGTGGGTGGCACAGCGGTTACGACGCTCGCCGACCATACACATATTCCGAGGTTCGATCTCCGACCGACGCACTCCTTTACCTCGCTAAGGTAGAAATAATCCTGGCAAAGAGGAGAGGTTGTGCATAAGGTGGGTTAGCAAACCCATCCTGTAAAAATAAACACTGCTCCAGAAACTTCAAGCCTCTACCTTGAAGCCCTATGTTTAACTGGGAACGTGAAGGAAAAAAAAGAAGATCAAAATTGTGAAGATCAGTTAGTTAAGACTGGCGGTTACATACTATGGATTAATAATAATCCACAATAATAGATCGTAATGGGAGGACAGTATAGAGGTAAATACTCAAGATGTTATTGATAACTGATGGGTTTAGAATTCAGTCCATAGTAGAAGTTGGTGGATATTATATACACGGGAGAAGGCTCAGCGGCAACCACGCCTCAGATAACTATGCAGATGTTAGAGGTGATAAAGACACCAGTCATCATCAACTACTTCTCTACTTGGGGGTGCCATCGACAATTATACATCTCATCCAACAGTTGTACAACAATACTGCACTTGCCAAGAAACTCACAGAATCCTTCCAAGAAGTGAAGACGGGAGTAAGACAAGCTGACTGGCTGCCTACTATTGCCAATGATTTTCCTGATTGCCAACGGTAGATTGGATAATGCGACAGATAGACAATAGGCAACGAGAAAACAGGTATAAAATGGACTCACACAAAAAGAGACTTGGAGGATCTAGACTTCGCCGATGATATAAATGTCTGATTTCCCACAAACTGGAAGATATGCAAATGAAAAGCAACAAGTTCGCGATAGAAGAAGCATCAAAGATAGGACTTCCTTCAGGTGAACATAGAGAAGACAGAGGTAGGTGATGAAGATTCCTGGGTAACAGCAGCAGCAACAACAACAACAGACAACAATCAGCGTAAATGTGAGGAACATGACCAACCTGGGAAGCATTGTTTCAACTACAGGTTGACAGAACTGATGAGGATATCAAAGCGAGGATCGGGAAAGCTAGACAAGCTTTCATGACTCCTAAGTCTGTGTGGAGGTCAACACTCAGCACTCAGCATCAAAAATAAGATCCACATATTCAACTCCAATGTGAAATCAGTGCTGCCATACGGATCAGAGACTTGGTGCAACATAAAGAGCACCTCAAACAAACTACAGATTTTCATCAACAGCTAGCTGTCTTCGTTCAATACTACTCAAGATCAGATGGGCGGTTAGACAATATCTGCAACAGGGATCTCTGGCAAGGAGTGAACCAACCAGGAACCGATTATGCAACAAATAGGCAGGAGGAAATGCAGATGGATTGGCCATACTGTGAGGAAAACCATCAAGTGACATCACTAGAAAAGCCATCGGTCGAGTGGAACCCAGCCGAAAGGGAAGCGGTGAGTTGGTCATCAGTGCGAGGATGAATTGGAGGAGGTCATGTGAAGAGAAGATGAAAACATGTGGGCAGACGTGGAGCCAGGTGAAAACTCTAGCAGAAAACCGAACGAAATGGAGACGTGCAACTGTAGCCCTATGTTCCTCTAGGAATCAAAGGAAATAATAATATTATCATCAATGGGAGAAATCTTAATGATGAAGTCATATCTTTCACATGCTTAGTCATTATTGTTTTAATTACTGGAGGTGGGGTTAACATCGTCGGAAAAAACCAGTCAGAATCGGGAAAACGAAACAGGCGTTTATTACTGTGAAATTGGTCTGCATATCACTACAACCAAGTTACATGATCCGAATTGTTAATACTAATTTCAAAATCACTCAGTATAATCCTATATCTCTTTGATAGACTTTACCTGGTGAGTCGCGAAGAAGCATTTCCAACAGCCTTTTGCAGACTATTTCATCAAGTAATAACTTCACTTGATACTGAAGGAATCCCGACAGTCAATTAACATGTACACGAAAATGAAGATGGATTCAACATACTATGAGGAGATATTCAAGTAACAGGCTCTCGAATGGAACCCGACGAGTTGGTCGATTGGAAGTGACATGGCAGGGGGATGCTGTGAAGAGGAAATTTAAGAAGCATGCGGGGTAGTCGTGGGTCCAACAGGCTGGCTGAAAGTGACTTCACAAAATTAGAGTACAATGGATTTGTGTCCTGTTGGAAGCCCTGTGTTGTTCTTCATTCAGAGCTATCTAAAAGAAATAATGAAATCATTGGAAAGAGTCTCTTCGCTAAACTACCTATTTGTTTTTCCATAATTCTAGCTGAGTGCTACTCATGTCTTTTATGAAGGTGTTCCTTTTTCTCTTTCTAATTCTTTGTGCTTTAGATAAAGAAGAACTCAAGATTAAATTGACTGAAATGACTACACGAAATCAAGATTTAAAACAAAAAGTATGTGTGGTGTCATTTTATTTTGGTTATTATAAATAATTTCAGTTTTCAATGACCACTATTTACTAACTTGCATAAGCAGCACAGAGGTTAGGACACTCGCCGATCATGTACATGGTCCCGGATTTTAATCCCCGGCCGACGCACACCTGATATCAGTGATCGGCCTGCTAATATTTGGGCTAGCGATATCACATGCTTGGAGTTCTATACTTGTGTGGAATGAAGCTTTAATAAAATAAAAATAAATAAAATGCCTTATTGTCTTATTAGATGTTTTATATTGTAAGACGAATTCTGTGAAGTGACATTCTGACATTAAAGGAGGAAGTAGAGTTGTGAAAATGTGACTGGGTTGACTTAAGCATTTAGCTTTCAATTTGTAGATTTTTGGGTCTTGAACGCTGACTTACATACACCAGCCTTGTCAAACACCTGAGGAGTATCATCAGCCCTCACGAGCCCGGAACTGAAACAGGAATTAATAATGCCTAGGAGACAACCTCTGGAGGTCAAGTCACATAAAACCTCTTTGAAATGAATTTTGAAGTCGCGTTCTTATGAAGATCTTAATGTGGCAATATAAGTAAGAATTTGCACTTCTCGGGATCATCATTCTCCAGTATTTCCCCATAATAAAGAGCCAGCTGGGTTGTCAATGTAGTTGAAGATTGAACGATGAATTCATGGTTGTTTGCTCAAACCCAACTGCCCCATATTTTCGCGGAGACATCAATACACCAGTCATCGTCTCATCGGTCGCTGTTCAAAAAGAGCGTAAAAACCGTCAGAAACCTTAGTTTATTATGCTGCTCATATGTTGGTGTTAGAATAAAGAATTCTCGAGTCGCCAATCGGTGTTTTGGTTTTTGCGTCCGTTAGTACTAAGCGTTTCTGAAAGGCTTCGAGGGACAGCGAGAGGCCCGGCGTAGCAAGAGCTGGGCATTAACGGTTTTTGAGACGTGATTGATATGGGTTGCTAGTTGTTGGAGAGGAACACCCTACTACTATTACAACCCTGGACACCAACAGTGCGACTTGACTCTCAGAACCTCAACGTAGTATAAGCGAATTAGCCTGTGATGGTAGCGTCTATGCAAACTTTTCAGGTATGATTAAACCTGCATGAACATTCCCTCCAACCAGTGTAAGTCTTTGGGCTATTGTGCAGTATGCTTGTCTGACGTCAAGGTTGTGGCAGGCATATTTCAACGTAAAGTAGGAAGCCACGTAAACGACAGCACGATTATATTTCATATTAGATTATTTTCTTTGATATAGTACGCGGTAATACCTCTGTTATTACTTTTGACAAGTAGCTGTTACTTTGGTAATTAGGCTTGCATATTGCGATGACCCAGTGAGCTACACTGACTGGAACTGAGGGTCCTACAGTCTTAAATAGCAGTTTGACTGAAAACAGCTACCATCATAGTGTAGGTCACTTTCGCTATGTTGGGTGGGTATTTGTGGATGGAGTCGTACTGCTGGTGAATAGGGAAGGATGTGACAGCAATTGCGGTGAGAGCTGACTACTAGCCGAAGTTGGTAGACAGTAATTTACGTCAATGTTTATATCCCCAATATTGGTCGTGAGAAAAACGGGAAGAAAGACTTTGCGTAGGCGGATACGGTTAGCATGTAGATGATATGACATTCAAGAATCAGCCACAAAGATATGAAAGATTGACTTTCTGTGAGAAACAACCAATCAGAGGACTGTGTTTGTTTTCTTGAATAATCTATAATAATGTACATGAAAATATATAAATATGTGTTGATTTCCTTAATAAACAATCTGTTTCCTGGCCCTTGTCTTCTCTTGTTGCAAGTAAGCTGTTCCCCTGGTATGATCAGTCGACCTTGAGAAGCGTACATCCTGATGTGTCTTGGATTGATCCATAGCCAGCGGTAATATGTTAATACGGACGCAATATCGAAAGTCATTTTAAATAGGTAGTGTCTGACCGGTCTTGCCCTTAGACTCTCTGTTTACTCAAGACTAATGCTCCCTCGTTTTCGGGTATCCCAAGAAAAAAATCAGCATCCATGATGTAAACAGGCGGAAAGTAATAATAAGCCTCAGGATGGTCGGGGGTGGGTGCCTTGCGCTGCGGGTTGACCACCCCTCCGTACACCTCTTGAAATGCTCCCATATGACCGGGCGTCTTACATAGCCTCTCCTGAGGAAGTTCTACTCACTGCCTTCACGTGGCGGAGGTGTTTTTCACCAAAGTGAGAGGGCAAAAGCGTATGTCCGGCGCTCTTCACCGGATTGACTGTCCATTGGATGACAGTCTAGGGGAGATGGCTAAACCCTGATTCCAAACCTCCAACGACTGGCGTATGAAGCTCACCGGAGGTCACCGGCAGACGTATGGACAAAGGGCTTATTGGATGCCCTGGATGACTGGCCCCATTCTAAAAGGCGAATGAACCGGACTCCGGTCACCGGCTCCCAATGGTTGGTGGACTCCCTACTCCACTCCTGCTGCCTTGTAGGTCACACTTGGTTGTGTAAAGGCTAGAGCTGCACTCTCAAACAAAGGCCGAACGATGCTGGGGACATCACTCGTACCTCATTCCCATGAAACTTCATGAACTCTCTTACAAACAACATCAACCAAATTCCAGTACTGGTCCAACAACGTCGCCTTCGGTGGTTTGGCCATGTTCTGCGCCGACCAGATGACGATCTGGCCAAATCAGTTCTAAATCCCTCGCCATTTCCATCTTGGCGATGTCGCAGGGGTGGACAGCTGAAAACATGGTTTGGTACAGTCAGTCAAGGCTGATATGGTGTGCCTGGGCTGGGGCTACAAACCGTCTACGGACTCCGTCTGTGGAACAAGAATTGGATAACCCTGTCGCAAAACCTTGCATCAGATCGCCGCGCCTGGGCAGCGATGATTCGAGATGTTCATGAAGCCGGCTCATCCTCCCGTCGGAGATAGCCGAAGTAAAGTAAATAAGTTTCATAGACACACCCCGCAGTCAGTACTAATACTGTTGTTGTATCTGACAAACATTTGAACCCTGTATTCAAAAAAATTCTTTGTGTCAAATTTTTTATGCCTAAAATCGTTATGTCTCACTGCCCATATTGGCGATAAAGGGGGTGCAGTGGCTTAAGCACCTGAAGTTAACCCAGTGAGTCCCAGGCTCGAATATTTCTCCCTCTTACTTCAGTGTTGGAAGGTGAATAGTATGATCCGTGATGGATCGAAGCCCAACAGATGAATAATCCGTTCCAGGTAAACAGGCTCAACTCAACTAACTACTCCTATCGAAATAGATAGAGCTAGTGTGAACCTTTCACCCAATCACTGTAAGCCATGTAGTCATAATACAGAGGCTTGTATCAGCTGCTTCACTCTCTTTACCGATATCGTGAAATGGTTATTAGTAGTATTAAATATCGATGTATATTTTCCATCCATTGTGTTCTAGCTGAAAAATTACGTCTTTGGGTTTTCAGTTAGAGCACCTTTCTAAAACCACCAGCGAGTACTGGGCAATTGTTGTTGCGTCCTTGTTTGATACTCTTCATCAGCAGGCACCTATGACTCACTCTTGGGGGATTTAACCCATAACTTTCAGGTCATGGGGTTCACCTCTATCTTCCACCTTGTTTGTGATGTATAGCACTACTGCCGACAAATAACAACCGAAAATATCTGTCCTCACACACCCACCTGTGGTTACAAAGTTGCACCAGAACTTTGGGCAGCATCATCCTGTAGACAATTACTGTTTGGGTATTGGATTGATTTTCTAGTGTTGTTGGTTTTTCAGGAAGTCGATTGATTTCGAGATTAAATCACGAAATTCCGTCATTCATCTGGTTGCCGGGGCGGAGGGGGGTATGTGGGGGTCACGCTCTCTGTCGCGAATTGGAAGAAGTTAGAGATTATATGCCGACCACTGGATTTTCTCCCGGTGGCCAAATGATCAACAAACGGTGATGGTGTTTTACTTGGTAAGATTGCGTGGCTAACATGACACTAGCCTTATCCTCCATCTATTTTCAGCCTTCTATTGGCTATGGCTGATGTTTTAAGAACACATCAAACGGGAGTCGAGCCTAAACCTTAATCGTAGGGTAGGTGGTAAACGTTCCTAATACAACTAACCAACTATGTAATTATTATAGGCATAATTCTAAATTCCTTTGTGTTAATAACTCTAACAGTGTTGTACAGTAGTATTAACTGACGACGTTTCGAGCACAAACTATTGGTACTCATAATCATATCAAGGCACTACTGACACAACTTTCTTGCTTCATTTATATACATGTGTTCAAACGGTTAGATATTGGAATAAAATAACTATCCTATAAAATTCATTAGAAAGATCAGTAAAGGCCAAAAGCAAAATAAAAATATTCGTAAAACTAGTAATGATAATATAAATAAGAGAGAATATAAGGCATCTACTGTTATGCCATATAAGGAAGGGACATCTGAGGCCCTACGTAGGATTCTTAATAAAGCAGGAATTGGGGTGGCATTCAAATCTACAAACTTACTCAGAGACAAGCTCTTTAGACTAAAAGGCCCGTTGGATCCAATTAAACAAAATAATATAATTTACAAAATACCCTGCAATGACTGTGAGGTCAACTACATAGGTCAAACTAGTAGGTCAGGGATAGTCAGATTATCAGAACATAAGAATTTAGCCAAGGTAAGAATGGCTGACCCTGAAAAGATAAGTAATTTAGAAAAAAGCTCAGCTATTGCACTTCATTCAATAACAAACAACCACACAATATGGTGGGATAAGGTTAAAATTCTAAAAAGTAATATAGGTAGGTGGAGAGAGAGGTTGATCACGGAATCCTTATTTATCGAGTCTACACCCAACACATGCAACAGAAATGACTCAATGCAAATACCAGAGATACGGAAGATATTATTACCACCAGTCAGTCAAATCAGAGGAGGATAATAAATAATCTTAAAACTCTATTTCAATTCAAGTACATCATAACATTCTAACATAAAAATTTATTATGACTATTAAAACACTTATCTTATTTCCCATCTGATTGTAATTGACCAATAACACTCGTATTATTATTTCTGAATGTACATTATCCTATATTGATTTTTATTTAGGTATCTAGTCAATTCCACACATGTATATAAATGAAGCAAGAAAGTTGTGTCAGTAGTGCCTTGATATGATTATGAGCAACAATAGTTTGTGCTCGAAAGGTGGTCATCAGTTAATATTACTTACTGTATAACAACACTGTGTGATTTATTAGAATAAAATCTTATCCATAATGGAGTTATATTCTACCACCGCAGTGCCCAAGTTGTATACTTATATCCTCTCTGTATTTATTCTCGATTGCGCTTTTTCTTTTTGTTACAGTGTTCCATCCTTGCTGCTAAAGCTGAAGAAAGTGTCCATTTAAAAGATGAATTAGATATAGCCCGGGAAGAAGCGTCAACTGCACTCCGCCTATCAGCTACAATTGAACAATTACGCAAGCATGCTGATGAAGCAATCAGCCTACGTGCACGTTGTTCCCAACTAGAAACGGATAATCAAGTTTGTATGCAACGATTGGCTGAATTAGAACAAGAAACACGATTGGGTGGGAAGATACGTTCTCAAGTCAAGGCACAACGTTTACAAGCTGAAGATGCCCAACTGGAAGCTAGTGAAGCTATCCGAAGAGCAGAATTAGCTGAACAAGAGTTGAATAGGCTTAGACAAGAATTGATAGCAACAAATCGTGAAAAAGAGGTAGATTATTATTATTATGTTTCATTAAGTTTTTTTTCTATGGTTTGGTTTGTAAGGGTTAGTTATGTTTTCACGATTTGATCATGGATTGATATCATTTAGACATAACCATTGAAGACCAGCCACAGGGAGTACTGGACAGCTTCTGTTTCATCCGCCTGGTTTGGAATCGTCGGTAGTACGCACCCACTGCCAGGGTAAGAACCCAGGACCTTCTGATTGCAAGGCGAGCTAACTGGCGCGTATACCATTCACCCACTGTGACTCGATTCAATGGCCACTGTATGAATTCTAACTTCTACCAATTCATGATTTAGCGCGACCCCAATCAGTGTCGTCGGTGGGACATCCATCCTCACACGTGACATCTGGATGGAGCTCACTGGTCATGACTTCTCACTAGAACTGACTCCAGGAAACTCCATCCTGTAATAAGTCAGTAGCGAGCATCAGGTTAATTTTGTATAGTTTTGGTTTGTAAGGGTTATTGGATGGGTGGTTGCATGGGCTATGCAACAAACTGGTGAGTGCGGAGACCGATAAACCAATAAAAATGACTCTAGAAGACTTAGACTACTTTGTGGAAGCAGGAAGCCTTGGACACCATCTAGGTTTCATGCTAGTTGGCACTCACCAGTCAGCAGGGCGAATCTGAAACCACCTCGAAGGAACTCATGTCCTATCTGAGATTCAATCCCTCGTCACCCAGTGAATACTGCAGTCAAAGATGCTACCATTGAGCTACTTGGCCTTCGTACCGATTGCCTCAAACCATCTAATATCATCAAATCAATGTGCACCGTGATGGCGAGCTACCTAGTGGAATAGTGGCCACATTGCAAACCTGACTGACAGAATTCAGTCTGCATCAAAGAAAGGACTAGACACATCACACTAGTTACTGATTAGTGTCCAATCAAAGTATCTAATACACTCCTATAGGAGTTCAAAAGCAAGGCCGAATAGCTGGCTCAGTGGTAACGTCTCTGAATGCAGTATTCACTGAGTGACGCGGGTTCGAATCTCAGAAGGCACATGAGTTCCTTCAATGTGGTTGCAGACACGCCTTGCTAACTGGCTGATGAGTGCAACTAGCACGAAGCCTAGGTTGTGTCGAAGGCTCCCTGTGGCCGATTGCCTCCAACCATCTCATATTAACCAAGTAGCTATCGCTCTACAAATATATCAAACGAAATGGAATTAAATTGGACATTCGCTTAGGAGGTCGTTGGGTAGCATCATGCGTGCCAGGAAGTCCCTCGTGGGGAGGCCAAATAGGAAATGATGAGTTGGATATTGGTACATGGATGATATGGAGGAGACTGTGTCGGGAGGTGATGAGAAGTTATGGACAATCGTGGAGCCCACTAAGAAGGACTACCAAGGACAGGATGAAATAGAGACGTGCTGCTTGGGGGTGGGGTGGGACCGGAGGGAATAATAATGCACCTCTAACTTCTGTCAGTTCCACGATGTATTGCATCACTGTCAACCTATGTTATCAATGAGTATCTGCTTTATGTCTATAATGGTCGACCCTACCACCGATCTCGACTTCTCCTTAGAACTCTAGGAACATCTCCCTCTTATAGTCACGGATGAACAGGCTGAACAGCTTATAGCGCCCCAGGTACATGATATACTCTGTTGTTCTAGGTAACTGAGTAGTGAGTTGAGTCTTTTATTTGTTTGATTTATTAAAATCAATATGTCTTTGAGTTCTCTCGCATATATATATGTATTTTGTCTTCCTTCTTATTTATCGATACAAAATGATGAGTGAAATGAACAGTTTACAAAAAAGCGGGCTTTTCGTTGAAGAATGTGCTTATCTTTACTCACTTTTTATGAAAATTTTGATGATGACCTGACATTCATTATGCTATGCGTGTGTGTGTGTTACCCCCACGGTCTTGGTGGCGTTGAATGTTTTGTATTTAAAATCAATTTTAAACATTCAATTTTCTTTTTCTGTTTCTTCCTTGATTAAATCAACAATCTGTGTTTGTTTGTTAATTGATTCGATTAGTTGACTATCAAACTCTTAAAATTCTATACTACATCGACACCTAGTTTAAAAATAGGAAGTGAAGTGGTTGGTGGAGCACGTTGACCGCTTCACTTATTTGGGAAGTACCATCAGCCAGTGCCAACGGGTTGATCTCTGACGAAATCTCAACACGAATACAGGGGGCTCGTTTCGCATTTGCCAGTTTACGCCGTCTCTGGCGTAGACGAGATGTTCAACTATCGACCAAAGGGCGGGTGTACTGCTCATCAGTCCGCTCCATCCTCCTTTATGGCCAGCTGTGAGACCTGGCCACTGAGAATGGTAGACATGAAAAGACTGGCTGTCTTTGATCATAGGTGCCTGCGCTCTATTTCCCGTGTAAAGTGGCATAATAAGGTGAGCAATATTGAGGTTAGGTATTGGTCGAGTTCTAGGTAAACAGGGGAAATCAATCGATGAAGTCGTGAAGTTACAAAGACTGAGATGGTTAGGACATGTGTTACGTATGCCTGGTAATCGCCTCCCTCGACGAGCTATGTTAGCGGATATAGGGTCAGGCTGGAAAAAAGCTAGCGGCGGTCAAACAAAAACTTGGCATCAGTCAATGAAATCCACAACAGTTGGTCTAAGCCACGTAGAAAGGTATAGACTTCCAGGCTGGGGTCCTCGGAACGGTAAAAATCTATGGTTGGTTGGTGACATGGCTCAAAATCGTTCTCATTGGCTGGTGCAGATGCATCCACTCCTTGTGATTTATGATTTCCAATGAAACTGTTTTGTTCTTCGTTATTACTCTTCCTTTGTCTCACACCTCTGTTTACTGTCTCTATTATGGTTTTCTTGTACTCTCTTCTCTTGCTTTGTGTACTACAAGGAGGGAGTGTGGCGACTTGAACTGGTGCACATTTGTGCAAAGTTCTATGTCGAAAACAGACAGACAGACAGGCAGACAAAATTCTATACTCATTCTCAAGTGGTTAAACATATTATCGAAAATATATCGAAATAGTTTCTGTCGCTTGAAGCAAACAGTTGTTGTAAGTTGCATTTTGAAGCGATCACCTTTTAGACAAAGAAGACGTAATTTTTCTGAATTGCATCACATTTTGAGCAATCTGGTCACATATGGTAACTAGAAGGTGTTTGGTTTGAGCCTTTTGTGGTGAGTTTGTACAACTGAAGAGTCCCAATCTAGGTTGACATGACAACTATCCATTACTCTCCACAGCATTTCCAATGGTTCTCTAACTGACGTCAACTCATGATAGAATCCTGTAGTCAATCTATCGAATTCCTACCAATCAATACTTGAAACAATTATGAGGTGAAAAGAGAAACTTAAGTCAAGTTAAAAGTCCGTCATATTCAAGGTCATAATAACAATGAAGATCACTAAACTAAATAAAAGCGGCAACAGTATAGCGATCGTTTATTGAAAAAATCAAAAGATATTTATTGATTTTTATGTACATTATTTATTAGCGTTTTTGTTATCAGACAAACAGAGTCTTCTGATTGGTTGTTTTTTTGTGTGAAAGTTAATCTGTCATCTCTTTGTTTGTTGCCGTTTCTTTGAGGATCAGATCATCTACCTGCGATTCGTATCCACCCACGCAAAGTCCGCTGTGATCTTGTTTTTTTCTCATGGCAAATATTTGGGATGCAAATTGGTGTCTATAAATTTTGGCCAGCAGACAGCTTTCACCACAATAGTACATCTACCCTGGCTAGTATGGCATCAAACCGAAGTTTACCAAGGAAGGTTGAGTGTAATGACATCATGTCAGTTGACAGTGTAGCTTCATACTTATTAAACAGCGCTGAGAAAACTATATGTACATAGGTTTTAGGTCAAATTGACAATTTGCAGATTGGTTAGCCATTTGCAGGTCTACACAATGTTCGAGTCGTCAAATTTCAGTATAGAGTTTTCTTTGTTTAACAAGTTATTCGAATCACAGTGTATGATCTGCAAGTAAATTTGCATTGAACTGTATACTGCTAATTGACTAAGAGGATGAGTCGTTGTATACCACTTATATCATCAACCAGCCAGATTGAAGCTTCTAAAAGAAACTACTACTGGAACTGTGCAAACTGGTAATTCAACTTGTGGTATGGCTAATTGGATCAAGTAGCTAGCTAGCTAGCTAGCTGTCCAGAAATCAGGTATAGTTTGAACTGATTCAACTTTCTGAGCTGAGTCGGACCGCATACACCGTAGATTGAGCTTGGAGCCGAACGAGTAAAACAGCCTTTCGGATGGAGAGATTGTCGCTGATATTGCTTAGAATTGTTGTCACTAATGCAGATATATCCATTCTTTGTAAATCGCCCAGTATTCATTAGCCCTTTATGTATTTCCATGTTACTCTTCTTCCTCCGTCATATTTCTGTCATTATGTTATTGAATGAAGAAAAACAAAGGGTACAGCAGGTTGAAGGTGAGACTATAACTCATCGAATAAGAAGACATTGTGAAGTGGTCACGCTACTTCATGAACTGGAACAAGTTAGAATTCATGAACTGGCTGGCTATTGGATCGGGTTCCAGGGACTTTTAATGGTTTCCGAGTTATCTCGCTAGGCTTGTTACCAGATGGTCTTGGTTTCGTACCCCACTGTGGTATGGGTGCGTACTGCTGAAGAGTTCCAAACTAGCTAACGAAACCACCACCTCTCCAGTACTCCCTGTAGAATTGTTCTCCAATAGTTCTCAAACTGATGCCAGCGCTCATGATGAAATCCTTCAACCAATCAAAAAGAAAGGAATTTCCCACATGTTATTCCCCTCCACACAAATCTCATTTTTTTTTCTTTTTTTTCTCTCTTCAGTGTATCTTCTCAGAACTAACCCGTCTTCGATCGTGTTGTGAAGGTCTTCAATCATGTGCACAATTATCAAATTGTAAGTGTGTAGTATTCTGAAGTATATATATATATTTTTTTAAAAATATTTTCGACTTTTGTTTATCAAAAGAAACTGACTTATCGAATTGATTTTGAGCTGATAACGTCTTCGGCAAAAAGACAGACAATATCTCACATAAGCTCTTGGTATGCATATATTTTGGAAGTTTTGTTATTTTCACCGCAAATATTTGTGAATGAAATCGGTAGACTTTTGTGCAAACAATTTCATGTGTTTATCGTGTTTTAGTAATGCCTTTGTAGTGATATTGATAAAATCTCTTGCTTTTACTCTGTGTTGATCTAATTTTGTCTGTAGAATTCCTTCATCTTCTTTTGCACTGAATATGCGTTTTTTGTTGTGTGTGTGTGTGTGCGCGCGCACCACTGTATAATTACAGCTTTCCTTCCTTTTTTGAGTTGAGTCTTATTCTGATGATAATCTTGAAGGTTGGTGATTGGTTGCTGTTGGGCGACGATATGACAGCTACACCGTCAGTGTGATTTTAATTGTTGTCTGGTTGATTGGGGTAGATTGAACACTTGTAACTTGTGTGATGTGTCTAGTCCTTTCTTTGGTGCAGACTGAATTCTGTCAGTCAGGTTTACAATGTGGCCACCATTCCACTAGGTAGCTCGCCATCATGGTGCACATTGATTAGATGATATATTAGATGATCGGAGGCAATCGGCCTGAGGAAGCCTTCCCTGACCTAGGTTTCGTGCTATTTGACATTCACCAGTCAGGAAGGCATATCTGCAACCTTGAAGGGACTCATGTTTCCGTCGTGTGAGATTCAAAGCCGTGTCACCCAGTGTATACTGCATTCAGAAACATAACCACTAAGCTAGCCCTGGGACGGGATGGAAAAGGCGGAGAGAGGTGGTCAGTCCATGACGTGTCGTCGTGGAATTAAGGATGTTTGTGCTAGATTAGCATCCGTTGGTGCGTTACGACTCCATAGTTGGGGTCCGAGAGATAACTGGAATCGATGGCTCGAAACGTTATCGGATATGGCCAAGAATCGTAATCATTGGCGAATGTGTTACAATTCCCTTCTTTCTTCCCTTCCCGATGGTAGTTAACGAATACTATTTGAACTTGTTAAGTATGACTGTTTTCCTTCCAGATGAAGTTCTTTATCCGTTCTCTACTTCTATTTTTATTTTAAATCTATGTTGTTTTATTGTTATTGTGTGGCGCATGTTTCTTGGTGCCATATTGTACTTCTTTCGTACACAAAAGTCTGGCTTAAAGTCATGAATTGGCAAGGCCTCGGCTGTCTTTAGAAGTCTGTAACGAAGAAAATGCAGCCGGTAAGTTAGCATGGATTCTGTATATGATCTTAAAATCATGGTCAGGGTTGACTGAGTGACAGAAGTCGATCAGGTGTGTTCTAGAATAGAGCTTCGCACAGACTTTCTTTCTCCCTTGTAAATTCAAGCTGGAATATGTTCTCGTATCCGTGTGGATAGCGTTCTCTGACTACGGCCAGTGTACCTTGCTCCACAAGAGCAGGTGAACTGATTGAGAGATGCACATGGAGGCGGCCAGACAGAGAGGGACTTATCTTTTACAGAGGTAGAGAACAACTTGCGGCTAGTGAACGTCATATATGTAATTTTGCTGCAAAGAACGTCTTACACTGACTGAAACAGAGAGAGACGATTTTTGTGCATGTCTAAAGCTTGATCACCTTCGAATTTCAAGTTCATGAATAAAGTTTTCTTTGGAACTGAGTCGGTGACCAGTTTACACTGCTTATCTTTCGTATTTTTGTCAATAATTTTTATTTTTGATAACAGCTTGATTCCATATTGTATTTTTGGTACAAGTATGGAATTTTCAGCATGGATATCGGTAGCCCAAATCTTGCAGGCCGACCATAGATATCAGGTGTGCATCGACAGGCGTTCGAAACCTCGGACCATGTGCATGGTCGGCGAGAGTCCTGGCCACTGTGCCACCGACGCACCGGTTCGATCAATCGTTTTCTGCGAGCGTGTCTTTTAAGAAGCCAAGTTCTGACTCAACGCAATCAGAACTACAAATTTTCCTTACCTTAAAGCAGAGCGAATGAATTAAGTTCCTTTTCCTGGAAATAGGCACCCAACTGTAAAAATTAGTTAGTTTTTTCAGTTCTATATACGTTCCCGATGGATAGATCTTTTGAGAGATTCGTCATTACGTCTACTAAAGCACACACACCAATCTTGACGACAGTTCATTTGAATCTAACATAATTTTATTTTCCCTTATCATTTATTAATTCTTTTTTAGATAGTACACCTGTGAATAGTAATAATAATAGTTCAATACTATCGCCTGCAATGCAATCACAAATGTTAAATCTTCAAGAAGAACTTAGTCGTTTACGTACATCAATATATAGTATGGAGAGTGGTAGCATCCATGGTGGAAGTGGAGTCGATGGTGGTGACAGTATTGGTGGTGTCGGTGAAGAAGATGCTGATTATGTTGGTGATGATGCTGATGATAAATTGGCGTTCGAATCGTCGAATTTATTGATTGGCCAGTCAGTACCATCAGATATGCTTGTTACAAGTAGTATTAGTAGCAATACATCACGACCACAGAATCCTCGTCAATATCTGTCAAGTAAACTGACGACAACAACCACAGCAGCAGATTGTGCCTTATCCATAGCCTCTGATGTTATCCAATCGACAAAAAAAGGCGACAGCGATTTGGATGAACAATACCAACAGCTGCAAGAGGCGTATAACAACCTGTTGACACGATTAACACAGAAAGAAGGCGATTTCATTGAAATGGAACAAAAGTATCGTGGATATTTATGGAAAGCGCGGGAAGTTATCCGCCTTCTGGAACGTCAACATCGTATCCATCAGGATATTTGTCCAGAGTATAGAAAGAAGAGTTTTTCATTGAAACAGCAAGAGAATAATAATAATGCGAATAATATCGGCGAGAGTGATAGTGATAATAATAATAATAACAATGATAACAGCAGAAAATACGATGAAGAGATTAGTCATCTACGCAGTTTATTAGTTGAAAAAGAACGTGTTATTGAAAAGTTGGAAGTGAGTAGTCTGTATAGAAAATATTTTGTTTGTTTTTTATTATTATTATTATCTTACACAAGTGATATATTGTTGATGCTGGTCGTTGATTTAGAATTCCTCTTTTTTGATGTGGTTGTGTTCTGTGAGCTGGATACTTAATTTGCGAAGCTTTAATCACCCTACTAGGTAAAATCTTCAGTGCACATACTTCAATTTGAAGTGAACTGCGAAAAACACTACATTGGCCAAAGTGGACAAAGTCCCCTTCGTCTTCGTATCCACGAACAAAAGCTAGCTGTCAAAAGACGTGATATCCACTCCATCACTCATATCACTGCACACAGGCAACCACGCACATCAGTTCGACTGAGACAGCCAACGTTCAAATATTAGACAGAGGAAACAATAAGAATGCTAGAGAATTTTTAGAAGCCTGCCTGGTATTCCAGTGATTCGTCAATCAATAAACACATCGAGATAGACAAAATTTATCAACCGATAAGAAAGAAGCCTCACACACAAAGGGCTAAAGTTCAAGTAAAAGAAACAATCAGTTCCAATGAAAGTAACCTAGAAGGTGTGAAAACACACAGAAACAACCAATCACGATGTCCAAGGTCAGCGACCAGGAGAGATGATTAATAAACTCTTGGAGAAATCTAAAATCTCACTTTCACAAATTGAAGTATGCACTGAAGATGTCATCTAGTAGGGTGATGAAAGCCTCGCAAATCAACCATCCAGCCCAGAGAACACAACCACATCAAAATCATCCACCTGAGCTACAAATCTTCTCTATCATATCTAAAAATTTCTCTGACTGACTGACTGGTTTCAACGTAGAAGTTTGCACAGATGTGCAGCACCTCGAGTTACCACACTTCACTCAGCACACGGAGCCAGAGAAGAAGAAAGTAAAAAGAATTGCAAAACAGAGGTATGGTGCAAAAACAATAGTAATATCGAGGAACCATATAGTTTTATTGGATATTATAGGTCACACGGGATGGATGCATCTGCGCCAGCCATTGTGAACGATGAGTTTGAGTCATATCACCAATTTTCTGCAACCGTCGTTGGTTTTTACCATCCCGAGTACTCTTTCCTACGTGGCTTAAACTAACTGTAGTGGATTTTATTGACTGATGAAGCCACCACCACCATTGTCTCTTTTCCAACCTGATCCTATATCAGTTAGCTAACATTGACCATTTTCAAAGAAGGCGATGGCTAGGGATGCATGTGTAACACATATGCTAACCATCTCAATCAATGTGACTTCACAATCTCGTGCATTGATTTCGCCTCCCACGTACCTAGCACTCGACCGATTCCTAACCTCAATATTTCTCACCCTTGTATACCTTATTATACCACCACCTGACACGGGAGATAGAATGCAGAAACCTATGATTACAGACAGCTAGCTAGTTTTTTTTCATGTTTCCGACTCTCAATGGCCAGGTCTCACAGCCATAAAGGAGGATGGAGTGGACTGCTGCAGTGCATTACACATGCCCTTTGTTCGATAGCCGGATATCACGTGAGAGTCGGTGAGACGAGCCTTCTGTATCCGTGCTGAGATTTCGCCAGCGATTAACCCTCTTGCATTGACTGATGCAACTGCCCCAATAAGTGAAGTAGTCAACACGCCCTACCAATCACTTCACTTTTATCTTTAAGCTAGGGGTCAGTGTAGTCCAGTCCTGTAGCATCATCTCACATTTGACAGCAAGAGCGAATCGCATGCCAAATATTCTCAGATTGCAGCTCAGAAGCTCAGTGTTCAGAAGACTCTGCTGGATTTTGTGAGTGTCTTCACCTAGGATGGAGGACTATATCATCTGCATATTCTAAGTCAACTAGATTATTCCCTGATGGTAACAAGTCAATCCCTGAGTCACTAAAGTCAGTTAAGATTAGGTTTATTAGTACATCTATGATGAAATTAAACAGAAGTTATGGGGACATTGGGCATCCCTGAGGTACACCACTACGCACTAGTTGTCACCACTTTAGATGACAAGTCGCCGTAAGCTCTCACCTGGCTGGCTGCATGGGAGTTCGAGCAGAGTGAGTGCCTTGATCAGTGCAATGTATTTCCTGGGTGATTCTATTGTGAAGCTTTCTTTGTCGTTAAGGATAAGCGCTACCCTCATTATGTAGTAGTAGTCAGTCTTTATCTGTAATACTACTAATTAATTGATTGATTGATTGATTTGTAAGAGTAGTTGGATATCATTCACCTTCAACTGGTCGTGTTTACTGAGGAGATCGATGTGATCTGCAGTTGTACTCATATCGCGCTGAGTCCATCAGCGACGTCCACTGTTTAATTCATCTCAGAGAGCTAAATCATTTCGAGCCGCCGGAATTCTAGCTAGCTACTTTGCGGAACACGGGTAATACATTGAATCGAATTCGGAATTCGAAAATTTGTTCCGTTATCTGCAAATTGCATCTTTCAAAAAGGAGAGGGGACTTGATTCAGCCTTTTGAATTCTTCATGGATTAGGCATACAGTGACCCGCTTGTCTGCGCATTGGTTGCCTCTGATGGTTTTGCAAAGATTGCATCTCTAAATGATCTCTTGTAGTCGTAGGTCTTCATGGTCTCAGCCTAAAGGTGATGGAGGTGTTCCTCACAAAAGTAGATGATGAGCTGATGCAAATATCTAACGCTTGAAATCGGACTGGTGGACGTGCATATCTGCCTACTTTAGTAGGAGAGCTGTAGAACTACGATTTCAATCCTATGGCGAGCATTGGGTTCAAGAATTCGAACGGATCGAGTGGCGTTTTATCAACCTGTTTTGTTCAACGGAAACCTTGTGGGGTGGACGTAGCTCCTGATGTTGCTTCATTACCTAGTGGATCAGTATTTAAATCTATATGTGGTTGAGAAACTTGGCGGACAGATCACGAGAAGCATTTTCAACAGATTTATAAACTCTTGTGAAAAACAGATGCCTCCATCGTTAATGAAGATAAGATAGATAGTCGGCTGGAAAAGATAAGCTACGAGTAACTCTGGGGAGGAATGAGCAATACATATGCTGAAGGGAATGGAGATGCATGGATTGTCAATATACACTGAGGAGACTGTCGGGTGACTTCTTACGAGAAAACCTTCTAGTGAAAGCCGAGTGTAAAGCAACGAATAAATTGGCGAGTTGTCCGTGAGAACTATGGACAAGGGAAAGTGAAAGTATGTAGACAGTCCTGGAGCCATTTGAAAATTTTGATTGTACAGAACTAAGTTCACTGGTACTGACCTGGTTTGATGCTCCAGCTTTAAAACTTCAGTAGAAGTGGTGTTTTCTGCAGGTTGGAGTTACTAGCCCCACACCTAACCTTCCCTTCCCGCCCCCCTGTACTCGACTGACTACCAGGCTGAGGAAGCCTACAAGTGCATCGGTCATAGATCGAATTGTGACCCCGTGTGAAGTTTGATGACTATGGGATGTCAGATGTCTTGTTTTGTTTAACTAGTCAATTAATTAGTTAGTTAATTCATTGTATTCCTCTATTGTCAATGATGTCCTTTTCTTTTCCAAATCATAGACTCATCATGAACAAATGCGACGTCATCGTGAAGCTGAAGAACGTCTCCTTTTGACAGCTTGGTACAATTTAATCATTCAGTCAACACAGAACACAATTGAAGATGGTTTAAAACGCCAGTCATGTGAAAATTGTAATTATCCTATAAAATCTCCGTCAACAACAACAAAGTCAAATCATACAAAATCATCCACTGCCGAGAATAATCTCTCCTTCCTGGCTAGACAACGAAATGTTCATTTGAAACCACCGAAAGATTTAACTTCAGTTGTAATGTCCAGTAGATGAATGTCGTGTGTGTGTGTGTGGGGGGGGCTTTGTTTCTCCTTCTCACCTTCCGCCTCAAAAATCCCACTCAATCCATCGACCCACACACACACACGCACGCAAACATGCATTCATTTGTAATTGTGCATTTTTTAACGTCGTCATTACGTCATCACCACCATCATCATTTATACTCTTATCGTGATCGTCAACACACACACACAAACACGCACACATATAGACATTTTCTAGCAGAAAGTGATAATAATAAGGATCAGTTGATTCTCCTTTTTGATCTCACTTGCCTATTTATTAATAATATAATTATTATTAATGTTGGTACTACTATGTATATTTCAACCGTGTACAATAATATTTTGATTTCCCCAATGGGTTGATTCATTGATCAATCAAAATATCCGTCATTTAATGAATGAATGCATGACATGTCATGTCTCCTACCCAGTATATGGATGCTTCGATGATATATATCTAAAGATTAAATTGATGAAATAGTTTGAAGGCGGTGTCTGGCGAGATCGGATCCCAGGAACTAGGTAACTCTCGTAGTCCAAGTGGTTTGAAACGACACGGATGCGCGCTGGTTTCCTAGTCACTACCACCCGTGTGAGTGAGTGAGTGAGTTCCAAGTGGGATGAAATGCCACACGTCTTGGATGTGGCTTTCCATCACCACCACCTGCTAGCTATAGACACTATTGAGTGATTTACTTATTATTATGTATGTATATTATCATATTCTCTTGTCGCCTCTTTTGTAGCCTTATTATTATTGATTTTATTATCGATTATATGCCCATGTGTAACAGCGGCTTCTCTTTCGCTGTCTGTGAATGTCTACACTGTGTATGTACTGCCTTCTTTTCAAGCATTCTTCATCACTCTTTCTTGTGTAATTTGGTTCTATTTTCCCTTTTCCCCTTGTTTTTTTATGTGATCTTCTCCTTTTTATGATCACTTTTCACCTTTTTTTCTCTGAACATTCAAATACTATTGAAGACTAGTTAATAAGTAGTATATACCGCTTGTCTTCATTTTAATTAAAAGTAGTAGTAGTATCGGTCCTAGCCTCCTCCGTTTACGTTACACATTACGTGAACTGGATCTTGTTCTCTTTCTCAGATATTCTTTCTCATATTATGTCATTGAATGAATGAACACCTTGTGTTTTTTTGTGGCACATAAATTCGTATCTTTCTTTCACTGAACTTTCTCTATTTGTCTTTCTCTGTTCATCATCATCTTCTTCATATTGATTTATTAATTGATTTTTTTTTGTAATCGATATGAGTATGAATGAATGATAATATTCTCTTTGTAAAAAAATAAAATCAATAAATTTCTCTTCTATCATGGATTTTATTGATTTATTTAATGTCTTTTTTGTGTGAGTCGCTAGTGAGATGTGTGTGTGTGTGTGTTATTACATTGTGCCGAAATGGCGGCTGGGAGGGGAGGAGTAGATGGATGAAAGCGCGGTAGTTATATGCTCCTATAAAAGAACAACATGCGTTTCATGCGATAGAGCGAATATGTTCATTCAGACATCTATAAAACACAAAATAATTGAGCAAAGAAGAATATCCACTTTTCGATGATTTCCTCTTTTGGCCCTACAATTAGATATCTCAAGTATTGGTTTGTAGGGATTTGATTGGTTACAGGATTTTCATCATGAGCTGATATTAGTTGGAGAACCATTGGAAAACCATCTGGGAGTACTGGACAGCTGTTTCGTCCTAGTTTGGGACATAGAATATTCTAGATTAGTAGTGAATAACAATATTAGCTTTTTTTTTTAATAATATCGATTTGTAAAGTATGATCACAATGGGATTACAGTTCATTAAAGATGCTTAAACTATAATAATAATAAAGATATAGTAGCAAATAGAACATCAACTAAAATTAGGGAAATTGCGCAAAAATTCAGGAAAGTTCAAACCTAAATGGCCAAAGTAATGATAATGTTTGAACTAACTTCTTTTGGATAGATAAATTAGGCTTGTTAATGTGGATCCACACAGCCTCAGCAATACTTAGTAGTCGAACTCTTAAGGCGAAATTGAGATTTGTTGGTATACGGTAAATGACTCTGAAAGCAGCCTGGTTAACGTCAATCTTGTGTTTTGTCTCCACAAGATGAGATAGAATAGCGCTGTGAATAGATTTTGTTTGTCCTTTGCTTAACCAACCACGCAGGGAGATGTTCGGAAATCCGATAAGAAACACGCCTAATTTTACGGCCTATGCAACCAACTGGCTCCACAGGAGCAGTTAAATTGGTAGATACACATGGAAGAGGCGAAATTAGACAGTTTGTCTTTTACTCTCGAGCGCAATATAGGAGTGGTTTTGAAGACACAGCGGAATTCGGCAGTAGGGAATGCTATTTTCACCACTAGGGTCTCGTTAGTATCTCGCTGATATTGTCCCCAAGGAACTGCATTTGTGGGAATATAAGGCCTTGTTTGGAACTGTTGGTAACTTGGGCAGCCTTCATTTTTGATTCCTATTCTTATCAAAAATAATTTCTAGATAACTATTTTAACTTAGCAACCGTTTAATATTATTAAGCACTTCATCAGGACATTCATCTGAGCGAATTGCTGTTGCTCCGTGGCTGACCAAGCACTTTATCAGATTGCGTTTGTATTTCAAGGGTACGAAGCTGAAAAAATGAGTATACTGACCGTCAGTTGATGTAGGTTTTCTATATACACTTATTCTTATTGTGCCATCCTCTTTTCTGGTCATAAGGACGTCTAAAAATGGAATACTAGAGTCTTTTACATTCTCAATAGTAAAATTTATTGCAGGATGCATCTCGTTAAATTTATCGACAAGGATGTTATTTGCTTCCTTCTTATTTTTCATGATCAAAAATGTATCATCCGTGTACCGACAATAGAATTCGAGTTTATTAATAACACCGTTAGAAGGCCCATTTTCTAGTTTCTCAAGGAAAATGTCGGCTAGAATGTGTCCTAGTGGTGACCCCATCGCCACACCTTCGATTTGTCTATATGATGGATGATACATTTTTGATTATGAAAAATGAGAAGGAAGCAAAGTCGTTTCTAGTGATATCATTCTCCGTGCATCGGTGGCACAGTGGTTAGGACTCTCAACGATCATGCACATTGTCCGAGGTTTCGATTCCCTGCCAATGCACACATGATATCTATGGTCGGCGTGCAAAATTTGGGCTACCGATATCACATGTTGAAAATTCCATGCCTGTACCAAAAATACAGTATAGAATCAAACTGTAATCAAAAATTAAAAAAAATGCTCAATCGATTATATATGTGGTGAGAGCAGCCCGCTAGCCAATTGGTTAACATTAATCTACGTCAATGTCTGGGTCACTAATATAGGCCGTGAGAAAATATGAACAAGGCTGTTTCAACAACCAATCACAGCAAACTTAAACGTGGACAAATATGATTCGCAGGTAGATGGCTCCCCTTTCCGAGGAGCTTGAAAACAACCAATCAGAAGACTGCGTCTGTCTACTTGACTAGGCTATAATAGTGTATGTGAAATTTAAATAAATACGTGTTGATTTCCGTAATAAAACGATCTGTTGCCTGGCCCTTGTCTTCAGTTGTTACAGGTATAGCTTGTTTTTATATATATATATATATATATATATATATATATATAGTACATTATCTTAGCAACGAAATAGTTGTGAATTTCTTTCAAAAGGAATTCGAAACGATTATTAAAACTACACGTTGACTTACTCACGTAAAATCCGGAAACAATACAAGATTTGTCTAAGATACGTACTATATATATCGAATGTAAAATATGAAATATAATATACAAACCTCAATTATGAGTTGTCTGTGACTGAATACTTTTAGAAAAACACAGTCAATGAACAGAAAACAGCAGAGCTGTGTCAAAGTCGACCCAGGTGTTATTCATACGGCGCTCAAATGTCAGACTCAGAATAATGGGATACAAATAAAAAATGCTCACTAGTGAGGGGTACATGAATAAAGTATATACTCTTCAACTATAAGGAATCAACTACTATACAGCAAATAAAGCGTAAATCCATTAAATGCGTTAATCTTCAATAGCGAAGAAAGTCTTGTTTAAGTCAAAAAAATATATAGCTCATACTTCCATATTAGTTTATTTATTATAGATGTATCACACAGTGAGTGAAACAGTATTATTATTTACTGGATGACGAAGTTTCGAAGAAAATTTATTGTTCACAATCATATCAGTTGTATACCACACGACTTCGCAACATGAGTTTTATAGTATTCTTTGTTCTCTCCTATTTGTCTTCTTTTGGGGTAGTAGAATTTCCCAGATATCTGGGACAAGTGTTGAATCATTCGTATTATACATGTTTGTAGTTGATTCGATAAACACAGCTGCCGTCATCAATCTCTCCCTCCACCCTGTTGTTACATTAGATTTTAAAACTGCCATCTTATCCCATCTCATCCTATTGTATGGTTGTGTGTAAATTGCATGTGGTGAGAACTGTAGCTGAACTATTCTCTGGATTTCTTATCTTATTCGGGTCAACTAATCTAGATTTTGCTAGGTTCTTATGTTCGGCTGGTCTCACTGCTCCTGTTCGACTACTTTGGCCTATGTATTTGACCTGATCATCATTGCAGGCAGGGTAGTAGATGAACTAAATTGTTTTGTTTTAAAGGCTCCACAGGATTGATCCTTTAACCAACAAAGCTTGTTTCTAATTGAGTTTGTGGGGTTAATTCCATATTTGTGATGATATTAGTCATAGTGATAATAATACTGATAATATTCATGACGACATGCACAAGAAAATGATAACACCAACAAAAAGGAATCTAAATCCATCAGTAGTAATTCCGTGCAAGGAAGGAGCCTCGGAAACTTTACACATTATTCTTAAAAAGTTAGGAATAAAAGTGACATTCAACCCTTCCCCCCACCCCCCACAAACTCAATTAGAATCAAGCTTTGTCGGTTAAATGGTGGATCCTGCGGAGCCAATTAAACCGAAAGAATTCAGTTCATCTAATACCCTACTGAAATGATTATCAGGTCATATACATAGGTCAAACTAGTAGAACAGGTGCGGTCAGACTAGTGGAGTACAAAAGCCTAGCAAAATCTCGATTACTTGAGAAGACAAGAAATCTGCAGAATAGTTCAGGTATAACACTCACTACACGCAATTACACACAACCATACAATAGGACGACAAATAGGAGAGAGAGAGAGAACAAAGAAAACTATAAAACTCAAGTCTCGAAGTCGTGTGATTATAATTGATGATATGATTATGTGAACAATACTACATTGTGTTCGAAATTGTGTCATCCAGTAAATAATAATACTGTTTCACTCGCTGTGAGTGATGCATCTAATAAACAAACTAATATGGAATTACTTTTAACCATAATTTCCAAGTTTTACACATATATTAATATTTATACTACTTTCTAATGATAAGTAGTATAAAGTCGAACACAAAAGAAAGGAAAGGTGAGAAAAGTATTTTGGCGATTGTTCACGTCAACAATGATATTACTGGAAAGAGTAACTCTTTGCTGGAAATCTCTTGTTGTTTTTATCACTCAACAGTGTTTTTATTGACTATGTGTACTTGACTATTTGGCTTACAATCACAGCGTACTTTTCTTGAAATAAGGTCTTGGTTTTTATGTACTTTTCATAATAAATATAACTGTGTAATAACCTTTAAAGTACATCTTTATTTGGTAGGCAGTACAAGTTCTGTTTGAGGTCAGTTATCTGTATTGTTCTGGTGTTCACTAGAGATAAGGTTTAGGATTGTCATATGCCTGCCTTTCATGAGTCATTCTAACTTCATATCTAGGCTAGTCGTAATGAGAAGTCTTAGGTAAAGAAGGAAGAATTTTAAACTGAGGACTATCCATAGGTGTATTTGGGGTGAATGAACTTGTGTACAACCACTTCTTCATGGCCTTTTCAAACATAAATTGACCGCGGTCTGTCGTATCTAATCTCTTTTACTACAAATAAACAAATTGATTATTGGAGGTCATTGAAAGCTCAGTAGGATTGACGAATTTATTTTCTGTCTTACACAGGCCGATGTACTTCTCCAGGGTTGAAAGTATAGCTGCTGCTGGCGGTAGAATATCCTAGAACTAGATCTCTTAAGACCTATTTGCTTTCCGAAGACGAATCCTACACTTGAAACTAGTAATACAAGTGATAGCTGGTGGAATCGATGTAGATCGGAATGTTGTAAATAGGGGCTCAAAGATTTAACGCGTATGGAGCTTTGCGTGACCACAGAATTTTTGAGGGACTCATTGGTGATGATACCTAAGTGCTAATCCC